CGTTGTTTAGCCGAGAGGGGAGGATGGCGATGGTAACTTTTTGCCTCTCTTTTTCTTCCTCTTCTTCCGCAGTTTGGAGAGCGAGGGCCAGCTCCTCGTCATCATTTACTTGCTCAAAATCATCGGCCTCCATCTCCACCCGAAGGTTGTCCTGAACCTCCTCTGCTACCGCCGAATCATTCCCGGCCGAGAGCTGCTCGCTCGAAGACTCCATCTCTAAAAAACTTTCTGACTCAGCCGAGGGCTCCCTCGAGATGTCTTAGGAAACACTTTGTGAAGACATTCGTGAAGGCTAGAGGTCGAAGGTTTCGAAGAAGGAAGATTTCCTAAGGAGCTCTAACACTTAATCTAAGGGCGAGGAAGTAAAGTACACAACGAGTACGAAAAGCGAAGGAAGGACTAACCTCAAAAATAAGGATTGGATCGAAGGATAGTTTCTTTCTCTAGAAATTTTTTGCCAGAGCTTCGCTACTACAGAAATGTGTAAGGGAGAATAGCCCTGGCCATGGGGTATTTATAGGCTCCCCAAATCCGGGCTTGGGCCGAAAACTGGGCCCCCAGAGAGGAAAATCATCATTACACACCGTCGCTTCAGCCAACCGGTGACCCCACCAGTGGACAGCCAACGGAAACACGCCACGTGGACGCCTTCTCCAACGGTCATATTACAACGGCTATATTTTGAGGACACAGAAACGCCCTCAGCTGGCACAACACCACACATGCTTTCGAGCTAACTCCTCCAGGCTCCCTCATCAAGGGGAGCCCCCGGCTTGCCAACTGGAAAACCCCTCAGGACCCATCAGCCCCCAGCATGTGGGGAAGTAGAGAACCCCTCGGCACACAGGGACAATCACCGGCATTCATCGACAGCAATCACGCCCTCAGCCTCATTGACTGGGGGACTACCCCCGGCAGTCCCCGGGATGCTCACTGATGCTTATCAACCATGGACGCCTTCGAAGCAGTGCTCCCAGCAGATCCTCTGGGATAGCGACAATCAGCCTTCGGCATCACCAAAATCAACGATCAAACCCCTCAGATCACGGATAGCTCTGAGCGGCAACGTCGCTCTTCATCTCAAACCAAGGGCTCACCTTTTTGATTCATCATTGGGGGAATTCGGTGCACTCTTTTTCCCTCATTAGGATTTTTTCCCAAAGGGGTTTTTCTAATGAGGTTTTTAACAAGGCATCCCCCCAAAATGAAACAAAAAGCACAAGCCTTCGGGGCCCATGATGAAAACAGGCACCATGCTACTCCTTTTCACCACATTATATGTGCCTTAAGGAGTGGGGGACTGGAGGACCCCTTCGGGAAATCCACAAAATTACAAATGTAAAATTTTTTCTTCGGTCCCAAAATGTGGGGGACTAAGGGACTGCCCTCGATGAAACGTGCAAAAAAAGAAAAAACTCCTCACAACTCCACAAACTACGAAGCAAAACACCAACATTAAAGGACAAACGCAATTACTCCTTTTCCCTCAAGTACCTTTCGGCAAAAGGAGTGAGGGACTCCTGATGGAGTATATGGCCTGAGAACCCCCGGCCCACAGACTCCTGTTATTCTAACATAGGCCCAATAAGCCCAGGAAGCATAACAGGCCCAAGTCACAGCGCCCCAAATGCCAAGGAGCCCACGTTGCACATATGGAAGCCTTCGGCCCCTAGACCGAAGGCTCGAAATCTCGCAGGACAGCAAGTTTTGGGCATACGAAGCTACTGGGAGGAAACGACCAAAATTAATAGCCCCCGGTACTCAGAGCCCTCAGCACTGAGAGTTCCCCGGGACCACAACCTTCGGCTAGTCACCTGCAGCCGAAGGCACCCTCCTCGACAGAATATCCTCCCCACATGCGTCTGAATCACCGTACCAAGTACAACATCACATCCAACCACCGCATTTAATGCGGCCACATGCAAGTGTCGGTGCCACTCCGCTTGAGGTGACCCTCGGCCGTCGGATGCCTGACAGGTGTCCCTATCTAGCATTTATTGCTGCTATAAATAACACCCCTTTCCCCATTTGTAAAGCACGCTCAATACAACTAAAGTTCACATAATCGAATACTTCCTCTCTCTTGCTTATTTGCTCTGACTTCTCTCTAGTTACTTCCCGCAGTAACCTCTCGGATAAGCTACCCCCGGGTACATTATCCATCATGGCATTTTTCTCACCAATCAGAGATGACATTGCTAGGCGGTGGCCGAGACTGCGGGAAAGGCCTCCATATTTGTTTATATTTTGTAATGTATTTTTATCTTTTTTTTATTTATTTTTAAAGTTTTTTTATTTTTTCAAAAAAATAATTTTTTTCATTCTATCATTTACTCCCTCGGTCCCAAATTGTAAGATACATTTACTATTCACTTGGTCAACATAAATTACTCTTATACTTTTACTTTATATATCAAAAGTTTATGAATTTTGAATTATTTTTTTGCAGGTTTTGTAGCGGTTTTAATGTAGTTTATGAATATGTAAATTTTATTTTCTAAAATTAATTTGAGTGTTGACAAAGATCAATTTGCTTAATCTTCGGTCAAACATCGTAAACCGTAAAGTATCTTACAAATTGGGACGGAGGGAGTAATATTTTTTAAAATTATTTTAGACTATTTTTATATTTATTTTTAAGATTTTTTTATATAAGTTAGATATTTTGTTATTTTTATTACAAGTTAAAATATGCTTATCCTTTTAAGTTATGGTAAGGTGGAATGCCAAAATAATGTATATTTTAGTTCTATTTTGGGAAGATAAATAACCAATGGATTGGGTCTAGGGCTAGAGAGGCTCAGGCCCACCCTCATTTTTTGAAAAATGGTAATATAAAACCGGGAAGAGGAATTCTATATACAACCACAAAATTGCTATATACATTCATATAATTAAATTTTAATAAATAAATTTATTTCAAATGTCTAATTTACCCAAATGTTTTACACGGGACACACATCATCGGTGCCTCAATTTTACCTTAACCTTAATCATCAAACCATCGGTGCCTCAAAAATAGCTAATGCGGTAAAGATGTTTGATGTGCTTATATTTCCAGAAATTGTCATTATCTGAACCGCCAATCCAATGAAACCACCAATCCCTCCGGAATTGCCACTTCCGTTTGCTTCTTCCCTTATCTTAATTTCTTTGTCCCAATTCTCAAAATTAGTTCTCTTTCGACCAAGGGCATTTTCCAATGCTTTTCTGGCTTGCTACGAGGAGGAAGACGTAGACCAGCAAGGCCAGTCTAAATCCAGTGGCTAGGGGAGGAAGATGAAGGACGTGAGGAAAACGAGTATACTTATGTCTGATCGATGTTCAAGGATGGGGAAAGTCGGGAATGAATGAATGATGGTTGTATTTTGTTTAGGGGCAAAAGAGATATTTACAAATTAATTATTATTGAATTAACTTAATTTTGTGGTTGTGTTTAGCTATTTTATGGCTACAAATAGAACGGCCCAACAGGAAATCCCAAAATAAAATGTTGTGTTTAACAAGAGTCCATTTGGTGACTCAAATTTTCGGCTTAATAGGCTTATCAACCAACTTGTTCACCAAATACGTAACTTTTGGTTTCGCGTGCTGAATTGTGCAATAATAAGAAAAAGTAAGGTTGATGTTACTTTTTTAGTTGTATTGGCTGAAGTTACTATAAATTATCATTTTAACTATTTTTCATATAATTTTTCTTTATTTTATTAAAAAAGTATTTCAAATATAATTTTCTCATAAATCAGTATAATCGACTAATTTAGTCACTTCAATGAGAATTTCATGACTTTCAGTAGAACTAAAGTAAATGAGGTTGTTTTTACTTGGATTGTAATTCGTCCCAGACCAGACCAGACCAAAACACACCAGACCAGATCATATTTTATTATTATTATTATTATTATGATCATCATCATCATCGTTGTCGCCATCATCATCATCATCATTGTTATTATTATTATTAGTATTATTAGTATTATTACTATTATTACTATTATTATTACTATTATTATTTTTAATTATAAATGAATAAAATATAATTATTTAAGAATTATAATATATATAAAAAATAAAATCTTTATGCAAATAAAATCTAATTGTTATTATTAGTGATATTAGTACTATTACTATTATTACTATTATTATTTTTAATTATAAATGAATAAAATATAATTATTTATGGATTATAATATATATAAAAAATAAAATTTTTATGCAAAAAATATAAAAAACAAAATCTCAGACCAGACCAGACCATATTTTATTATTATTATTACTATTATTATCATCATCATCATCATCGTCATCATCGTCGTCGTCACCATCATCATTGTTATTATTATTAGTATTAGGGAGAACTATCAAATAAGTTCTCGAACTTTCATAAAAAGTGCAAATAAGCCCCTTTACAGGAGGCTTTGTCCGGCTGTTGCCATTTGGGGCAGTTTCCGGTGGAATTTTTTGATGAATTTTTTTGATCATCTTATTCATTAAGTCTAGTTTATCCATACCAAATTTCAGATACAAATTCAATCGAGATGACAGTCAAATGATTTTCTGAAATATATTGCGTTGTCTAACTGCACAGTTATCTTCAAAAATTCATTTGACTGCGTTCCTGATTGAATATTTAGCTGAAACTTGGTATGAATAAACTAGACTTAATGAAGAAGATACTAAAAAAAATAATCAAAAAATGGCATCGTGAACCGCCTCAAATGGCGACAGCCAGACAGAGCCTCCTATAAAAGGGCTTATTTGCACTTTTTAAGAAAGTTCGAGAGCTTATTTGATAGTTCTCGCTTAGTATTATTACTATTATTACAATTATTATTTTTATTATAAATGAATAAAATATAATTATTTATGGATTATAATATATATAAAAAATAAAATCTTTATGCAAAAATATAAAAAGTTAAATTTAAAACCAGATCAGACCAAAACAGACTAGACCAAACCAGATTACACTCAAACGGACCGCGCCGCACCGCAAATTAGGGTCTAAGTAAAAACATCGGCAGTCCGCACTCCCCACTCCGCACAACTGCACAACTCCAAGACTGCAGGGCGCGGGGGAAGAGGTAGCAGTCGAGCAGTCTGTTTCTTTCTGCTTCAGCAAACCCCCCTAAGGCCAAATCCCAATTCCCAACCTAGCAATCTAGCACGCAGCAACCCTCGTCGATCGTCAGTCGTTGCCTCGCTAATCGGCCGTCGAACGGATGCCAGCACGTCGGAGACTCGGAGTGTTGGATCCGGACGGCGCACGGCGGTTTAGACTGTTTAGTTTCTGCTGTAATTGCTCTTTGGTGGTAAACTGAGAGCTGCTCTTCAATTGTAAGCAGAGGCTTGACTCCTGAGAACAGCTGCCTAAGTCACGGCTAAAGTGCTAAGTGCCTAACAGGTAAGTTTTTAATTCTCTAATTTTATTGTGTTTTTTAATTTTTAACTTAGACTAAATTACGGCCTTGCTGTATATGAATTTAATTATTACTACCTCCGTTCCAAAATTAACTTTCCATTTCGGATTACCAAAAGACTATAAAGCAACTCGATCGATGTTCACATCCAGATTACTTTTAGTAAATAAAATTTACTAAAAGTTTACTTTTAGTAAACTACATTAAAACTGCTATCCATAAAAAAAATATAAATTTGATAAAATTTTGATATATAAAACATAAGATTAAGGATATGTTTACTTCATTTCTTAGTAAACGGTGTTTAGTAAGCCTTGCCTTAGTAAGCTGTTGTTGTAAGCAATGTTTAGTAAGCCAATGTTTACTTCATACAAAATTCAGGCCCGATTAATCAAAAGTCCGTTTAATTTCATTGGGTTTCAAACATGTCTTATGTATAAAATGTCAAAGAGTAATTAGGTCTGTCAATGGGTCGAGTCCGGTAAGGAACGTAGTGTTCCAGACCCGGACCCGCTAAGTTAATAATGGGCCGGACCCGGACCCGACCCGTTTACCTGGCGGGTCTGAAAATTTGGACCCAAACCCAACGGGTCTCGGAATCGGGTCGGGTAGACCCGCCCGCCAAGTATGATACGCACACCATTGTAAACTTTGTGAAAATATCAAGACATGTATGTGAAATATACAGCAAAGTGTACAAATTTAAAATCAAAATATATCTTCACTTTTCAAAAAAATCAAGGTCTCAGAAAATTAGTACTTGTATCCATGGTTTGCAATTGCGCAATGCCTTAGCGCCATGAGGCGCGCCTCAGATTTTTCTACGGTCATAGCGTAAAATTGCATTGCATATTGCGTTCAGGCCTGAAGCGTACGTTATTTGGGTTATTGCGTACGCAATATAGCGTGCGCAATGAGGCGCAGGTATGGCGTACGAATAAAATTTTTGATCGGTTAATTTTTTAGTTGGCCCACCGGGCCCAGTTTTAGTAAAGTAGACTTGCGACTTAATTTTATAGCGTACGACATTAGGATATTAAATGTTGCTTTACCCGGTGGGAAGCCCTTCAAAAGAATGTCCCGGAATATTCTATAGCCCTCATCTGGTTTTCCGGATTTGAAATAACAATGCATCAACATGTTGTAACTCCAAATGTCAGGAAAAACGTCAGATCCCAGCATTTCATCAAACAGATCGATGCATCTGGATAACAAGGAATGTCTAGCAGCCCCAGATATCAAAGAATTATATGTTACGACGTCTGGTCTAATGCCGGATTCTCGCATTCTTTCAAGAACTGAATACCCTTCATTAATTCCAAAAAATTGACAATATGCTGGGATTAGAGTGTTATAGGTTACCACGTCCAACTGTACTCCTACTCTTATACCGTCAACTAGTAGTTCTTCTGCTTCCTCTAGTTGTTTGGATTTACATAAGTATGCTACACTTATGTTCAAAAGCTTTGTTGATAGTGCGCCTTTATTTGTCCGCATCAATTACAATCTATGTAACAAAATCGAACAAAATTATCAAACAAACATTCTATATGCAATTTAATCAACATTTATAAACAAGATGAGACTATGAAAGTAGTAACATTTTAAATATAAAAATAAATAAATAAAACAGAATCCTGTTAAAGTGCTCTCATACACACCACATCAAGTAGGTGAGGTGCATGGATATTACAGAGTATACTGCTAATCCGTTATTATTCACAAGTCACAAAATAGATTAAGTGAAATTATGAATTCCCTTACAAACAAGTCCCAATACTAACCAGGAGTTTAAGTATTGGACGACTAAAGGATTGATAGGTAGCAGTGAGTTGCCTTGAATTAAGAGATGAACACGGTTACTTGAGAAACGAACGCTGGCCAGAATGCAGAAGTGTGAGACGTGGGCACAAAGATGGGGCCGGAGGAGGAAATGGAAAGGGGAAAATGGCCCATCTTCGTGCACCTTCTAGATTCTCAGTGCACCCATGTACTCAACTTGTTTAGTTTCTTTCACCTTCGACTTCCATGATCAAGAGTATCCCAAGATTAAATGGGTGTTTGATTGCCATGTTTGTTGGAGTATAGTCAGTTTTTTTACCAAAAGTTAATTTATCAAACATGCATATTGAAAATTTGAAATTAATAATACAGAGAAAAGTAAAGTCAGATATTTTATTAACTAAGATTGCATAATGACTGAACATGCAGACATGCTTACTGTAACATTTTATAGAAACAGAATTTTACAACAACAACATCCAAGCCTTATAACAACAACATTCAAAGCCAGTGCTCATCCGTGTGGCAGCTGGACAAACAAGATCTCTTTTTAACATTTGTCGCATCAAAGCCAGTGCCCATCCGTGATTGTATATATAATGAATGACCTATAACAAAATAATATATTAATACAATTGAATTGACACGAGTCCTACTTTTATTTTAATAATTAACTTAAATTTGAAATTTTAAATGATAATTAAATTTTATATTATTTACTTACAGTCTTGGCCTTTGCTAGTGCATTCTTGCATTCTTGGCCTTGGCCATTAACAATTTGCCAGCCGCTTTATAGTTGGAGGCGTTATCAGTTACGACTTGAGTAACAATATCTTCCCCTACTTCTTCCACAACACCATCCAGAAGCTTGCACAACATCTTTGACATGAGCTGAGGCATCAACTGATTTCAAAAATACTGTTCCATAAGGATTATTGACTAGAAAGTTAATCAACTGTCTTCCACGCATATCCTTCCACCCATCGGATAATATAGACACTCCTGTTTGTGTCCATGTCGACTTCACCTCCTCAACAAGTTTCTCAGTTGTCTTCACTTCCTCATCTAGAATCCAATGGCTAAGCTCGTAAGCTGAAGGTGGCCTGAAACCCCGTCCATAATTACCGATTGCACGACACATGTTGATAAATGAAGGTGAATTGGCAACATTAAATGGAATACCATCCTCGAAAAAAAATCTCCCAACATCCGAGCAACACTTTTCTCTTGCTTTGTGCAGGCGAGATGATGCTTGAATCTGGTTACCCCTCCCGTGGTCTCTTTAAGGCAATATTTACATTTTACATATTTATAAGATTTGCCCTTTAACCCTTCTCGTTGAATTTCGTCACCATGTTTCCACGCTGGGTCATTTTTATTCGTTTTAGTCATGATTGTACCGCACCAAAAAAGCTATCTATGGCGAAAGAAAATAACAAGAATGATATATTAGCATGATATATTAGCTATCTATATATTAGCATAATATATATATATATATATATATATATATATATATATATATACCCTATATATGATGTAAACTTGAACAGTTGAATACTAACAGAAAACTAATTTAATAGAAAATTAACATTACTATTTACTTTTAAATTAAGTAAAACTGTAAACACTAATTACTAATTTTAATAATGACTGAAAGGTGAAGTTAACATCAAATATGAAAACAAAAAGAATATACTAATATGCAGAAACTTAACTGCTGCTATATTAACAGTAATATTTAACATTAAACTAAACTGAAAATTTAATATTAATATTACATCAAACTATCAAAGTTGAAGTTATCATTAAATATTATAAATTTATAACTGAAAAAACATATTGATAAGTTGAAACTTAATGGAATGATATTCATAAAATATTAATAGGCAGAAAATTAACATTAATATTTGGTATTAAAATCAATGGAAACAAAATTTAAGCATCAAACGCAGAAGCAGTATATACAAAAACGAATACGCAAAAATAACATAAACAAGCTGGGAATTAACATGAAGTATTAATAAGCAGAAAATTAACAAGCAGAAAATTAACATGAAGTAGTAATAATCAGAAAATCAACGAGCTGGGAAAAACACAATAGAAATTAGAAACAAGAATGAATAAGAGAGAAGCAGTACCGTAGAACTGTCCAAGAGGAAAGCAGGCGGTGGAAACTGGAAAGAACTGGTTATTGGCTAATCGTCAGAATTGCTCTGTTATTTTGGAATCGGCGTATATAATATATATACTAAATTACTCGCAAGTCGCAACCCTGTACCTTATGTCGTACGCTTTAAAATTAAGTCGCAAGTCTACTTTACTAAAACTGGGCCCGGTGGGCCAACTAAAAAATTAACCGATCAAAAATTTTATTCGTACGCCATACCTGCGCCTCATTGCGCACGCTATATTGCGTACGCAATAACCCAAATAACGTACGCTTCAGGCCTGAACGCAATATGCAATGCAATTTTACGCTATGACCGTAGAAAAATCTGAGGCGCGCCTCATGGCGCTAAGGCATTGCGCAATTGCAAACCATAGTTAGGGGTGAGATTGTGTTGGATTGAGTTGGAACAATTATTTGGTATAGAAATTCACTAAAATCTTTTAAAATCCATAAAAGTAGACTGTTAATGAAACACATAGAATGTTTGAGGATATGTTTAAACACTCCAGGGAAATCCAAATTGAGTCTCCCTAAGACATACTAGCCTCACTGGAGAGGAGAGCTACAGACGGAAACACTTCACAGCAAGTCGCAAGGTCAGAGAGAGCTAGAGACTCCTGCACGCTCGCCTCGCATCTTATGCCTGACCGTGTCGCGTTGTTAGCCTGTCGCCCACGCCTGTCCACCGCCTCCCGCCTCGTGCGGCTGCCCAGCGCCCTCTTGCTCGCTAATAACTCCAGGAGCCTGGAGCCAGGACGCTGACCGCCAATAGCCCGCCACTGCTACCCTGACCGTCTGCCAGTATCCAGCCCTAGGTAAGTCTTTTGTTTTTTGTAATTTAAATACGGAGCATTATAGTTTTGTTAATTTCTGATATATTCATCACATAACTCACATTAATCTAATATTTTGAATGTTGTTGTTATAAGGCTTGGATGTTGTTGTTGTAAAATTCTGTTTCTATAAAATGTTACAGTAAGCATGTCTGCATGTTCAGTCATTATGCAATCTTAGTTAATAAAATATCTGACTTTACTTTTCTCTGTATTATTAATTTCAAATTTTCAATATGCATGTTTGATAAATTAACTTTTGGTAAAAAAACTGACTATACTCCAACAAACATGGCAATCAAACACCCATTTAATCTTGGGATACTCTTGATCATGGAAGTCGAAGGTGAAAGAAACTAAACAAGTTGAGTACATGGGTGCACTGAGAATCTAGAAGGTGCACGAAGATGGGCCATTTTCCCCTTTCCATTTCCTCCTCCGGCCCCATCTTTGTGCCCACGTCTCACACTTCAGCATTCTGGCCAGCGTTCGTTTCTCAAGTAACCGTGTTCATCTCTTAATTCAAGGCAACTCACTGCTACCTATCAATCCTTTAGTCGTCCAATACTTAAACTCCTGGTTAGTATTGGGACTTGTTTGTAAGGGAATTCATAATTTCACTTAATCTATTTTGTGACTTGTGAATAATAACGGATTAGCAGTATACTCTGTAATATCCATGCACCTCACCTACTTGATGTGGTGTGTATGAGAGCACTTTAACAGGATTCTGTTTTATTTATTTATTTTTATATTTAAAATGTTACTACTTTCATAGTCTCATCTTGTTTATAAATGTTGATTAAATTGCATATAGAATGTTTGTTTGATAATTTTGTTCGATTTTGTTACATAGATTGTAATTGATGCGGACAAATAAAGGCGCACTATCAACAAAGCTTTTGAACATAAGTGTAGCATACTTATGTAAATCCAAACAACTAGAGAAAGCAGAAGAACTACTAGTTGACGGTATAAGAGTAGGAGTACAGTTGGACGTGGTAACCTATAACACTCTAATCCCAGCATATTGTCAATTTTTTGGAATTAATGAAGGGTATTCAGTTCTTGAAAGAATGCGAGAATCCGGCATTAGACCAGACGTCGTAACATATAATTCTTTGATATCTGGGGCTGCTAGACATTCCTTGTTATCCAGATGCATCGATCTGTTTGATGAAATGCTGGGATCTGACGTTTTTCCTGACATTTGGAGTTACAACATGTTGATGCATTGTTATTTCAAATCCGGAAAACCAGATGAGGGCTATAGAATATTCCGGGACATTCTTTTGAAGGGCTTCCCACCGGGTAAAGCAACATTTAATATCCTAATGAACGGTCTTTGCACGAATGGATATGCAAAGAATGCCATGAAGCTATTTAGGAACTTAAAACATAATGGATTTATACCTCAGTTGGTAACATACAACATCCTTATTCACGGGCTTTGCAAATCTGGTTGTCCCGCATTTGCCAGAAGGCTTTTGAAAGAGCTGGTGAAAACGGGACATACTCCCAATGCTGTTACATATACCACAATAATGAAGTGTTGTTTCAGTTCAAGACGTTTCAAAGAAGGGCTTTGCGTCCTTGAAGATATGAGAAGCAAAGGGTTTGTATTTGATTCACACGGTTACTGTACAGTGATTAGCTGTTTGCTTAAGGCGTGTAGGACAAGGGAAGCTCTTGAATGTTTGGAGAATATGATTTGTAATGGGATTAAGCTTGATATGGTGACTTATAACAATCTCATTAATCTTTATTGTAAGCACGGGAAAATAGAAGATGCATTCTCTTTGGTTGAAGATGCAAAAGGAAGAGGGTTGGAGTGTGACATATACACACATACTATTTTGATTGACGGTATGTGTAAGGCGGGAGATATAGAAGGTGCACTCCAACATTTGGATTATATGGCTAAGAAGAGAATTGTGCCAAATTTGGTTGTTTTTAATTGTTTTATTAATGGGTTGTGTAAAGTTGGTCACATTGACCATGCATTGGATGTATTTGAATCTATGGTTGAGAAGGATGGTTTTACATATTCATCAATGGTGAACGGTCTTTGTAAGGTAGGGAGGTTTTGTGAAGCTTCTAAGGTGTTGCTTTCTTGCGTTAGAAGTGGTGAGAAAATTCTAAAGTCAGACAAAGAAGCAGTTATTAATGGTCTGTGTCGTTCTGGCTTAAATCGTGTAGCAAAAAATATGCAATCAAAAATCCGGGTGGAAAAGATACTGAATTATGAATGAGTTGACATACATTTGAGAATTTTGCTCTTTCAAAAACCGTGGACAACTTTTGCAGATAAGCCATTATCACAAAACTTGCGGGATATGTTGGAGAAATGGTAATATTTGAGTATGTCTGAGGTAGGAATCGATTCTTCCAGCAATAGAGATGAGTTTTGTTTTCTACTCTCTCTGTCCCAGAAAAAGGAGACCTGTTTGATCAAGGGGCAACCAGCAGCATATAAATTTCTATTAGGTACAACTGATGTTGGTTTAACTAAATCATGTTAGCTTTTTAATTTTGGCAAGTCATGATGTCATATTACTCATATACTCCGTACATAATTTTAAAATATAGTAGTTTTCTGACAACAATATACATCATATTTAACTTTGTAGCTTTTGTGGTATAGTATTGGAGTATTACATTGAAAAATGAGGTTATCATTGATTAATTAGGACTTCTGTTTTGACAAAAAGGCTTATGAAGCAATGTTTTTTGGGAGAGGGATTACTTAATAGCTGTTCAGAAAGCGGGTTAAGAAATTTCAAACCAGTCCGTTCGACCATGTTTTGTGGGCATGAGAAGAAATTGAATCATGGGGACTACATTAAAAGGTAATCTGATCAAATTCTGAATTCTTGCAATTGTTCACATGAAATTTCTGTTGTTTATTTGCATGCTGCTACACTGCAAAAAAAATGCTTATCTATGTAGCTTTGATCCTTAATACTTATATATTTTTTGTGTAATATTTTCAGTTAAAAAATTATATGGATGACCAAGTTAATAGTGTCTCGAGTAGTACAAACCAGAGTAATCTTCCGGTCAGGAATTTCCCAAACGGAAAGCCCTCCGGCCACCTCCATTTGAGGTGCTTCTCGGTGGATTTTTCGATGAAATATTGTGAACATGTTCTTCATGAAGTGTAGATTACTATGTCTACCACATTTCAGCTTAAAATGTTGAAAAACACTGCCCCAAAAAATGGATATAAAACGCTGTGTATTTCAATAATTTATTTCACTGGCTTCCCAATTGAATTTAAGCTAAAAATGGGTGGACAGAATCTACACTTCATGAAGAACATGTTCACAAAATTTCATAAAAAAGTTCCACCTGGAAGCACCTCAAATGGAGGTGGCTGGACGGCGTTGCCATCAGGAAATTCCTGACGGGAACATTTGTGGTACAAACCATTATTTTCTATATGAACAACATTAGATTTGAGACTGAAACAAACTGTAGCAATCTATACGTTTTTGTAAAACCTTCTCTCTATGCAGAAACTAGAGTTACAATTATGTGCAAAAGTTACTTTTAGTTATTTTTGTTATGTTCAATATGTTGTACTTTAGGTACAATGCAACATTATTGCCTTTATTCAAGATCACAACACTCTCTCTAGCTGAGTTTTGTTATTGCAAAATATCTTCCGTGTTGGACATTTTGGATGAATCATGGAATGTTCCAACAAGTATCCTCAATGATAAGTAAAATATGCATTAGTAATTGTGTGTGTGTGTATATACATATATTGAATTCATATTATTTAACTATATGAAACTTGGTCTTCTGATCTGATCCATTAAGAATTAAAGTTAATGTTAATCCAAAAGACCACATGTTATTTTGCATGTGATTGATATCTGGGTCCCAAATTTTGGGATCAGTAATAATGAACTAATGAGAGTACAGTAACAGCTTTTTCTCTGTGAACTTGACAATCTTATATTGTTGCTTTAATTTGTCAATGTCTTGTTACATATACATTCTTACTGATTGTTTTTCTTTAAATAGATGTCTGCAAATTGAACTAGACGAAAGGAATGTCTCTTGGCAAAAAGTGTTGGTTCCACAGCTCCTAGAGTCCTAGTTATCATGATGAATTGCTAACTATTGAACTCATGGGAAAGGTAATTTTGCTCTTTCATAACTTCGTATGATGTTTGATATCCTTTGCAAGTCTTGCGAAGTAATACACGTTTAGTTTTACCTTTGCCATTATCAACAAAATGGGAGTACAAAATATCCAGGGGTCCCAATATGCAGTTTGGAAATCCTTATTAATTATTATGTTAAAGCGACTGCAAAAAGCAACAAAGGCACACTGAAGGGAAAGAATTGTGAGGAGTATTCTATGTGAGGTTGTGAGGAGTATTTTTTGCCACTCTGAATTTTATTGTAGGCCAGTTGGTCGATTTGTTTGATTAATTTACTATGGAGATGTATAATAAAAGATTGATAACGTTTAGGCTAGGATTAAAAATGTTTTTGTCCTTAAATTCTTGTAAACATATTTTTTTGTTTTTCATCCATGTAATATGTATTATTTTGTTTTTAGTCCATCTCTTACTTCAAAATCACTCTATTTAGAAACAAATTATTGTGAGTTGCATAAATCTAGTAGAAACATTTAAATTTATCCTTTTATATTTTTTGAGGCTAATATGAGAGCGAAAACAATGTAAAAACTAATAATCCATATTTTAAAAATATATATTAAAAAGTTTGTAAAAATAAAATAAAGTACATTTTTGAATAGCATGACGAAGAATTAGAAGAAACTTAGAAGTTGTTCTCTTCACCTGATCTGAATTTTCTGATCTGAATTTATTAAGTTCCGATCTGACCAGAAACTTTCTGATATGATCTGATCTGAATCTTTCTGATCTGGTTTGATTTGAATCTTTCTGATATGATCCGAATCTCTCTGATCTGGTTTGAATCTTTATGTTCTGATCTGAATCCTTCTGATCTGATCTGAATCTTTCTAATTTGATCTAATTTGAATATTTCTATAATTATAATTATACTAATTATAATTATACTTTAAAAATAATTATAATTATAATAATTGTAATTAAAATTCAAATTATAATAATTATACCTATTGCACTAATTATAATTCTAGCTATAATTATGATTGTAATTATATTTTTAATTATAATTATTTCTATAATTATAATTGTACTTATAAATATAATATGTATTTCTATAATTATAGTTATAGTTATAATTGAGATTGTAATTGTAGTAGTAATTATTATTATAAATACTTAGTATAATAATAATAATAATAATAATAATAATAATAATAATATTAATAATAATAATAATACATGATGATGATGATGATGATGATGATGATGATGATGATGATGACGACGATGGGGATGATGATAATGATAATAATAGTAATGCAGAGTGGTAATAATGATGGATGATGATGATGACGACAACAATAATAATAATAATAATAACAACAACAATTATTATTATTATTAAAATTATTAGAATTATAAAAGTGATAAATCATGTTTGAACTTTTCTAATATGAATGTTTCTGATCTGGTCTGATCTGATATGAATCTTTCTGATCTGATCTGAAATCTGAATGCTTCTGATCTGATCTGATTTGAATCTTTCTGATCCGATCTGAATTTTTCTGATCTGATCTGAATAAAATAAGAATAACCAATAAGTAATAAGATTAAGATGAACAGAACATCATCTTAGGCCCTGTTTACTAACGAAAATATTTTTTGTTTTTGCAAAAAACTGGAAAATTGGAGATACCAAAACTGGAAAATGTGTTTACCTCATTGTTCTCCAAAAGAAAAAAATGTGAAACATATCTCACTTTTTTCTTCTTAATGGAGAAGTGACTTATACGTGTTTTTTGAATTCAGAAAACATGGTGCTAGTGCATCTCTACTTCTTCGCTCACTCCTTCACATCGCCAACGCCTTCTTAAATTTCATTGCCGTTCATAAACTCCTCAACGTTTGTTCGCTGCCATCACTGCTACGAGCTGCACCTAGACATCACGGGATTTCCAAGTTCTTCAGACAGTTCTTGTTCTATCAGGGAGTTCAAGGTAACCTCTTAATTTCAAACAAATAGCCTGCGATGAAACAATTCTTGAATTGCTATTTCTTGTTTCAGGATTGAATTTGGGTTAAAGAAATTGCAGAAAGCCCTTGTTTCAAAAGCTTTCAACAACGAGGTCCGCAATTTATTTTGTTTGACATTGTTTCAGAATTGGCCACATCATCCATCTCACCAACTTACTCCTAGTATAAATAGCAGCATTTATTTCGTTATAAGGGGTTACCATTTTGATACTCACTATGCAATATATCATTCTAGCTCTTGTATTGGCAACTTGTCTGTAACTCCCGTTCGACCATTTCCTTGTAAACAACATTTATACACTAATATAATTGGGCTATTGAACCATTTTGTCTGGGGGGCATTTTTCTTACTTCCCTTCTTTCATAAAACACATTAACGATAACCAAAGGGCTGTGTTGGGCCTTTTGGATCCATATAAATTAACTTCAACAACTTCATTATAGGTTATTATTATGTTGTTGATGTTGACTATCCAAATGTTCCGGGTTTTTAAGCCCCTTACCATGGAGAGAGTTATCACATAAAGCGATTTTCGCGGTCGAGGAGACATGTTCAAATTCCCATAGCTTGTTGCACATTACATAACTTCATTCGCATGCAAGATATGAACGATGATTTGTTCATGGAGTACGAGCAAGATGATATGATATTTGACAGGACCGCAAATACAAGTGAAAATAGATTACTCGGATTTGATATGTCTCAAAACAACAAATGCATGAAGTTCGAGAAAGTATTGCTAATGTAATATGAGATGATTATAATGTATGAGATGTGATGGTACAACCGATGATTAAAATAATGTCACTTATTCAATGTTGATCAACATTTATTGATGGAGTATATGGGTCCGGATCCCCTGGCCCACATACTCGGATGAACGGAAGGTACCACGATCACCTGGTGGGACCCTCATCGGCCAGATGACCCCCATCGGCCAGAAAGAAGTCTACCCAGAATGTGATCCAGAAGCCACGAAGAGCCGAGTGACCTCATTGGCCGGGTCTTCGTCGGCCATGGCCTCGTCAGCCACGCCCTCGTCGGCCATAAACAACCTCCAGAATAGGATTTATACTTAATCTTTTCTATGTACTTTGTATCCGGCCCATTAGTGGCCCTATTGTAAATGGGCCTCCCAAGCCCAAGACTTGGGAGCCCAGCCCTAATTTTTCCTATAAATACTCCCTCTGGGAGTAGTTGTAAGGGTTCTGAAATTCATTAATATAGAGCCAATATAGTACTTCTCTCTCTAGCTCTCACTTCTCTCTAGACTCATAGTAAATTCATTAAAATGTTTCCGTTAGTAAACGAGGCCTTATTATTTGGGGTTACTTTGAGGTCAAGCGGATGTTGTTTTCATCGGTGAAGAATTAAAAAGAAAATCGACATAAATTTCAAGGATTAAAAATTAAAAATATTTTTTTAAAGATGCAAAACAAAATGTACTATATTTATAAGGACTAAAACATATTTAAATTTAACATTTAATGTGCAATATGAATTTTATTATATAACAAATTTAAATAAATAAATATATAATAATTTCAAATTTAAATGAGCTGCACTTTTAATAAAGTTGCTTACATATCCTTTTTATAATGATAGATAAAGTAAAATGAATGCAATAATTTATCTTATTATAAATGCAATGTAAAAAACAATAATCTAAATAACTGTTGGGGGTTGTTTGGCTCCAGCTAGCCATTTTCTATATAAGATCCACTAAATTTCATTAAATATAACTCACCATCTTTTAGAGAGAGATATGTAACTCTTTCTGATTTTTTCCCACTACATACGCTTGTTGTCACTTGTCTTTCCCCTTTAGCATACACCATATAAAAGCAGATTGTTTTAAAGCAGATACAGTAATTGTTTTCCGAAAAAGATGGAGTGGGAGGGCGACGAGAAAGAATTGAAAGCGGCCGGAGCGGAGCTACTCACTGACGGACGGCGAGGGCTTCGAATTCAAGGTTGGGAAATCGAGTCTCGCAAGTGCTCCATTCTCAACTCTGCTCAACGGGAACAGTAATCCCCCCACCCTATATGTGCCATTATGCATTGCTGATTCACGTCTTGAAGTAGATGGATCTATTGCTGTTACGATTTCTGTAGAAATGAATAACTTTTGAAAAATATATACTTGTGACTTATGAGTAGAAATTTGAATATTGATAGTTAAATTATTGCAAGTATATTAACCATATATATGTCTCTTGGTAATAGCCTGAGGTACTCCATTTGCTTGAGCTGTAAATAGATGTTGTCAGCATTGGCTGGCAGCTTTCTCTCATTCTCTGGCTGACACCTTATAAGATTTTGAACTGCTCATGCTCAAAGAACCGCTGGAAGCTTTAAAAATAATGCACGACTCAATCAAATTCCAGGGAAAATTGCATTTTTCCTAAAACAATTGCTAAAATCTTTATTTTCTTGATAGCCTTTGATTGCAATGGTTGAAACTCAAATTTGAGTTTTTTTCATATGTATAGAAAGGACATTTCTTTAAATAGAAGAGATCTTCCTTTCTACAAACATGGTTATGTATTTAATAAAAAAAATCTTTTTCAACAATCATGCATATCTATTTATATACTAGTATCAAATATCAATGGCTGGTGCAACCGAAGTAGAAAGTAGTTTCTCAATTATATAATAGTTTCTGGATTAAACTATTGGCAATGTGTACTATGTATTTCAGATGGGAGGAGCGACTTACAACATCCCACTTGCCAGAGATGATATTTGGGGAGAATTCTCTGGTTCTTAAGCATGTGACAAGTGGTGTTAAATTTTGCTTCAATGCATTTGATGCGCTGGTTGGATGGAAGGAGGAAGGACTGCCACCTGTTGAAGTTCCAGCAGCTGCAATATGGAAATTCAGAAAGTACATATCTGTCATACCCACTCTCTAATTAAGGATGAAACTGAAATTTTACTCACTCCCACTGACCAACAAAATTAAATTTTAGTATTGAGTAACTTATATGTGTATCAAACAATGATAGACATTTCGAGAGAGTCACCCTTTTTTTGTTGCATACTAATCCTGATCAGCACAGTGCTCTTTCACATTAAATGCTCAATATGATCAGAACAGCTCCTTGGGGGTCATTTGTGTTAGTGCGATCTAGTTAAGTTGAGTACTTGAGTGAAATCCCCCATTACCTCATCCAGTCCCTTGTTTGGATGAGGTCTTAAAGCCCTGTTCCATTCCTGTGGAGATGCAATCCTGTTACGTAATATCCCACCTTTTGAATTTTCTAACTCAATATGTAACGATCCCACACCGGTCAAGTATGGGCTTGACCTATGCCGACATCTTAGGAGCTTTCCAGTCATCGGAACAAGATGAATACAGAGGTTAAACGAGCGTCTTTTGGGAGTGAGTTCTACACCTGGTCTTATGGCCTTGATATGAGCCTAGTATGGGCTAGGTCCGTAACAATTGGTATCAGAGCCATCCCCATCTTTCTGGTCCCAACACTCGGGGTGGTTGCCTATGAAGTGATGGCTTGGGACTTGGGGGTGCCAACTGTGACCAACATAGTCGTGACCAACGAGGACATCGGCAGACGTACAAGATCTCGTCCAAGGACGAGAATGAGAGACTCGCAGAGAACGAGAGCTTAGAGGATTCTGTAATTTGGAATCTATGATGAACATATTAATCGGAAGAATTAAAAGAAAGGGCTCAATGGAATTAATGAACAAAATATTATTATTTTTAATGCTACTTCCAAGAATTAAGTCTCTAAACCAAACATTGTATTGTTAGTTCTTTCCCGTGATTTCTCTGAACTAAATGTAGCACTAATAATTAGGTCTAAAAGTTTTTGCCCATTTTCTTTTAAGGAGAGTAGTATGTAGTTCATATTAAATATCTTTCTTTTTAGTAAACCTCAATCACATAGTTTCTAGTTTTACTATTTTAAACCCTATGCTCAATCAAATTGTGCAATATATAAGGGACAGAGGGAGTAATATTTAACTTCAATAAGTTACAGGATCCTAATTCTATAAGCCTATCATTACATCTTGTAGATGCTTCCATATTTATAAGAAATTTCTCTTAAGCTTTTGTATAAATGTAAATTAATGTTGACTTCCTGCTGCTTGAACCTTTACATTATGAACTTAGCTGACCTAAATGAATTCATTCTTTTTTCGAATGATTCCTGCAGTAAACCCTCAAAAGAGATGGTTCTTGATTATGACTATACCTTCACAACACCATATGGTGGAAGTATAATATTTGAAACAAATTATCAGGTATTTGCATATTGCATCACAATTTGGTACGGAGTAATAATAAACTATCAGTTCTCTCACATTACACACACACACACATATATATTTTTGCGTGATATATATATATATATATATATATATATATATATATATATAACTTGGTTCAAAGAAAAGTGTTTCATAGGTGAAAAATAAGAAATAATCTTGGCTTTTGATTTGATAAATTGGAAGGATTTGGTCAATTATGGTAAATTAGAAAAAAATTTAATGGAGAAGTTGAAATAGAAGTGTATCATTATATTGAAAAAGTGTACGAGTACATAGTAAACGTTTATCAATAGCTGCATAAATATATGCATGAATATTATAACATTTTGTATAAACACAAAATTCACTTGTATCATCAAGCAAATCATTTTTATGATTAAACGTTGCACGCTTGAGTTTTTTTTTTACGTTTATGGCACCACATTTTTAACTAGGAATGATCTAATCCATCCATTTTTTTGTAAGAGAAGGATTTATTCTTAAAAGGATGACAACCAGAACCGGCCGGATAGTTATCCGGGAGGATGTAAATCGAGATTTATCACAAACTGGTAGTGAGAGAATGGGATTCCAACTCGGGTCTTTGTCTAGAGTTGAGCCCGGGACCTCTCCCTTGTGGCACCCCCTCCTTACCTGTTGAGCTACACCCCCCCCGGCGAACATAGTCTCTAAAATAATAGTAGTTGTTGAGAAGATAATAACATTCACCTATTCTTATTTTTCACGGGAAGACCCATTTTCGTTTCAACCTTACTATGTGCATACACACGTGCGTGCACACACGCACACACGCGCACACACACACGCACACACACACACACACATATATATATATATATGTATGTATGTATATTTATACATGAATAGATAGATTGACAAACATACATAACATATATTTCTACAAGTTTATAAATTTTCAATGCCAATCGCCTATATTTAAGTGTGTGCTCAGAGTACCCTCTTTAATTGCCTTTCTTGAATCATTTCCTTTCTGCAATTCTATAGAAATTTCCATTTCAATTTTCAGTGGGAGAACTGCAAGGAGAAAATTGATGTGGCCACACTCGCATTAAAGGAGCCTATTCTATTTTATGATGAGGTAGTGAGTTAGTGATTTAATTCAGGGAGCGCATATGCATATATACCGACGTATGTCTTATCATATTTTTGTCTAATGTCTTTAGTAGCTTGTGAGCAGCATAAGTGATGTTTGCTCCAACTTTTCAACAGATCGTCTTGTATGAAGATGAATTAGCTGATAATGGAATATCTCTTTTGACAGTTAAAGTGGTAAACAATGATTTTACTTTTTCTACCTTTTGTAACTGCATGTGCCTTCAGGGTTGCTCATAGACTGATCATTATTCTTGTAATTTTCTAGAGAGTCATGCCTAGTGGCTGGTTCCTGCTGCTGCGTTTTTGGGTTAGTTTATCATTACAAACGATCAATTTTACAATTAAAAACGTATGCTTTTACATTTTTCCGTGGTTCAGAGTGTCAGTTCCATAATGATTGACTAATTGAGAATCTAACAGCTTAGAGTTGATGGGGTGCTGATGCGGCTGAGGGATACTCGTATGCATTGCACCTTTGTCGTGCCTGGAAAATCAGTTATTCTTCGAGAAAGCTGCTGGAGAGAAACCTCATTTCAATCTTTATCTTCTGTAAGTTAAATATCACTCCTTACAAATTCTGTTACACATCATTTGCATACATTCAGTGACATTTTTTGAAATTGCTTTTAGAGCCCGTTACTTTCCTCTAAAGAAAACTGTCTCTACTCCCTTTAAATGTCAAAGCTCAAATTTGTAATTTAGGACATTTCTTGTCCACCTACTAGTTGTGATCATGCTTTTTATAATGATCATTATCCGCTAATTGATGATTTTTTGCATATGATAGTTGATCATTTCCCTCAGAGGGGTGGTCATTTTACGTTGTTGGGTGCAGTTTATCATAGTACATCCAAAGTAACTCCAACCTTACTTTTTATTATCATTACACAACTTAGCGTGCGAAATCTAAAGATTCGTGTTTGGTGAAAAAAACATGAATATATATTCGTGTTTGGTGAAAAAACACGGATTTCTTATTATTACACAACTTAGCTATTTTTTCATATATTTTTTTCTTCATGTTATTAATAAAATATGTCTACCCCAAATTCTTTTGGGATTAAGGCTTGGATGTTGTTGTATGTTATTAATAAAATATATTTTAAATATTTTTTTCCATAAATCAGTAGAATCATCCAAACCAACCATTCAGCCAGAACTTCATAAATTCCAACAGAATCGGCCAGTACAGCTGATTTGGGTATTACCAAACGGGCTCTTAAATATAATAATTGTAGATTTTGGAAAGTAAAAAGAAAGTGTTTGTTGTGTCTATAATATAGGAAAAATATGGCAAGGACAGTATATTGAAGTGTTCAGATAGTAAATGGAATGCTTATTGAGAGACTACATTGAATGTGTGTGGATGTGTTCGGACAGTACATTGAATGGCTTTGAACAGTGAATTGCATGTTTTTGGAAAGTAAATTGAATGTGTGTGGAAAGTATACAGAACTTGAATGTGTTTGGAAAGTAAATGAATCTATGATGGCATACTGCTTTTCCATATTGGGAATGCTTAAGTTTCACTTTATTGAGAGCACATATTTTTCTATAAACTATGTGATGTTGAGAATTTGGAGGAGAAGCCGTTACCATGTGAACTTCATATTTTAAGGAAGGCTAATTAATTTGTCTTGTTATGAAGATAAAACATGATGGTCTGTGATAATAATTCATGATTTTGAGGAAGAGGAAAATTTGTTATTTAGTGATTTAGTTGAGGGCATGGTGGACATAAAAACACAATAAATATACGAACCATACATACGGCGTGAGAATGGGAAAATATAACTTCATAAGCTCATAGTCATATACTGGGTAAGAGTAAGTGGTTTTGTCATACGCATGGTAAACTTCTCTTTAGTTTTAGCTTTGGGCTTCAACTTGTTTTCTAAATTTGGTCTCATTTGAATTTTCTGTTTAGAGTTTATACATGGTTACTCATGGCAGAAAACTGTGACGTTTGCATGATACATTTACCACTTTTTTGGACTGATTATGCAGAAAGGGTTACCTACTGATTCTGCTGCATATAGTGATCCGAGCAGCAGCAGTGAAAGGCTTCCGGTTATACTGCAGAGAACCCAAAAGCTCAATATTTCAGATGCCGTGTAAGCAAAACGTACTCTAAGTAGTCATAGGTGAAGTGATGAACAATATTTGGAATTCTACAAGTGATAATTTTTTGTTCTGATTAATTTCTAGATTCTAATCAGTCTACCCATAACATAATACTGTAACATTCCTTTGTCTAACTCTTAATGTTCATCTCTGCTTATATACGGGTCACTTTGCATTGTGTTTGGATATGAGATCGATGGAAATCGCTGAGGTGCTTTTTTTTTCATTTCAAAAGCAGTGGGGATAGTTTGAACTTTGAAGTTTAAAAGAAACCACATGAAATTCACTTCTCTGACAAAAGTTTCACTGTACTGCCTGATGTAACCTCAATGTAATATACACTGTTTGATGCTCCAAAAAGAAATCTCTCAAGTTATCATTCTGGTAGTGGAAATGACAACAGAATAAGGTAAGAAAGCTTCTTCCCGGTTTAGGTGGAAGAACCAGATGCTGGACAGGTGTACATGTTATCATCAATAGGAACATCTTAAAAGTAGACACTTTATAAGATTCACACCAGAAACAGTGTTGCAAATATTAACATAAGCAGCCACCTAGGCACTAGGTGCCTGGTGCCCCCGGTACCCCCTAAGCCAATGCGAAAGTCCGAATTGGGATCTAAGATGTTTTTACTTGAGCTGGTATCAGTCCCAGACCAGAGCAAAACGAATCTGAATTTAACAGACCAGACCAAATTTTGACAGTTATATACTACGTAATACACATAGACCATACATCTACATGACCAAACTTAAACAGACCAGACCGAAAAATATCAGTCTTATTACAAACATCTTTAAGAAAATATTCCGACTTGAATGACCTAGCTTTTGGGTACGCATGCTAGGTGCCCGTGCTTCTAAACGTTTTTAAATCATATTTTATTGCTAAAGTTCCATTTTCTGGTATTTATAGTTTTATACAGAAATAGGAGACATAATTTACCCTATTGTACGTATTATTATATTTTATTGTTCAGACTATGCACCGACTACAAAGGCCGTGAGGAGTGCGTTGGGTGCCTGGTGGGAGCTGTCACGACTCTCCTGAGAGAATAAGTCCGTGACAGAGCCTAACGATTTCTCAACCATCACATGAAGATTGAGCATTTAGGCCCTATTTGGTTGGAGGGTTTTGGAGGGGAGGGGAGAAAAGTGGGGGATTTGTGTGTGTTTGGTTGAAGGAAATTGGGGGGAAGAGGAGGAAAGCGGAAGACTTTCAAAATCCTCCACCTCCTCCCATTCTAAACTCCCCAAATCGGGGTATTTCGGAGGAAACATGTTGATAACAACAAACTATCTATCTCCTACGTGAATGAACAAAATGTTATAATATAAAAAGGTAAAAAAATAAATGTTTTGAAAAATCTAAAAATAAAAAATTTAAAAATTTAAAGATTAAAAAATTTAAAAATTTAAAAATTAAATATTTTAAAAATTAAAAAATTAAAAAATTATAAATTAAAATTTTAAAAATTAAAAATAAAAAATTTAAAAAATAAAAATAAAAAATCAAAAATTCCAAACTGAAGAATGAAAAATTATAAAATTTAAAAAGTAAAAAATCAAATAAAATAAAATTATGACTCATGACCATAGGAGTAATATTCACAATAGTTAGACATGTATCTATTTTTTTAAGTAAGTTATCAAATAAAAGTAAATTGCGAAAATATTTTCATTAAATCTTTCCTCCTATTTCCTCCAACCAAACACAATTTTTTATCAAAATCCTTCCTTCCCCTTCCCTTCCCTCCCCTCCTTGACTCTCCCCTTCCCTCCCCTCCTTTGAACCAAACAAGGCCTTAAAGATGTCAATAAAGACTTTTGATCTCAAGCTGTGTTTGGTTTGGAGGTATGAGAAGGGATGGGAGGGAAGATGCTCATCACCTCCCTTCATTGCTTAAGAAATTAACTTTTGAAGGGAAGCCAATAAAGCTCTCCTTCCCTTCACCCATTTTTCTTCCCCTATAAATTGATTTTATAGAGTAAGAGAAAATATACTAATGAGTTTCCCTCCCCATCCCTTCAAACAAGAAATCCAAACAATGTAACCTAAAAACACCCTGTCCTTCCCCCTCCAATCTGGCCCTTCCTCCGAGCCAAACATGTCCTAAAGAAAACCCCACAACTCATAGAGTCCTTTTGGAATGTTGAAAATTTAGAGAAAGAAAAAGATCGGAAGTAATCCATTTGTTCTATTTGAGTTATCTCACACAACTAGTAACTTTTAAAGTTAATTGAGCGTACAATTAATTCTTCCCTGATGCATAATGTTAGTAATATTCTTTTACTTATTTACAAAACACTATTAAAGTTTAAAATTGAGCCGTAAAAAATGAATCTGATTATAAAAAATTTGTTACACATTTACAAACTAAAATAGAATTTGGTACATTTACACATAATACTACAGTAATCATTGGCAACTAATTTGGAACATAGTTTGGAAAGAAATAGAGTGGTGAGGAATTCAAATTCAATTAATTTAATTTCAAAGACGGATTCACTTTAGTTGTCAATTTTTGTCATATAAATACTAAGCAATCTTATATTTTGTAAAATAAATTATTAAAAAGTAATTATATTTCTTGTTCATTTGCATTTTGTGATTGATTCGGAAAATAAAAAATTGTTTTCCTTAGCATTTCTTTACTTTCCAATGTCGTATCCAGGCTTCAACCTTTTGGAACAATGGTAATAATTTCAACTTCAAGCTTTACAGTAGAAAGATAGTCAAATCAATATTTACAGCTTCAGGTTTAGGTCTAGCTTATTAGGATACGAGGAGGACTGCTCCTCTGCTTCTTGAGGATTGAACAAAAAACTTCCTGGCCATGTTGGGTCTGCTGCTTTGTCCATTGGATTAGACAGCCCTGACATAGACAACCTTGTATTAGGAGGCTTCCCAAACCTAGTCACTGTTATACTTCCATTTCCATTATCCCTCCCTTGACCATGCATAATTCCATGGTGTATAACCCCCATAGACCTTAACATGGGATTATGGAATGCCATACCCACCAAGTTGTACTTTTTCAATGCACCTCTTTCCTTCTTGTGAGCATTCTGGTGGCCACCTAATGCTTGAGAGCTGTAAAATTTTCGCATACAAAAATTACATGAAAACAACTTGGGAGAAGCAGGGTTTGAAGGTGTGCTTTCTCCTCCCATGCCTAAACTCAACCACTCTCCTGAACCATGTATGGTTGCCTCATGATCTCTATGCTCATTTCTCATTCTGCTTTATTAAGTTTATTTTCAGAAGATAGATGGAGAAGGCCTGTGATAAGAGGGAAACAGAATGAGAATGAGATGTAGTGGGAGGGAATTGGTTCATATATATTGCCTATTTGTGGTGCTTTATGCTCCTAGAGACAAGGCTTTATGTCATTCTTCACTCGAGCCTCTGTCATAATAATGAGAGTAAATACTAAAACACAACAGTTAGAAACGTAACTTTGTTTCCATCTCTACGTTAATCAAAATACTGCACTTTGTATAGTTGTAAGGACGCAAAACCAAAAAAAAAACTGTTCACGAGGAAAGAGTTCTTTTTAATCTTTTTTAAGGAAGGTTTTATAAAGTTCCTTTTAGAGATTTTTGAAGCATGAAAATGCTAAGGATGTGTTCTCTTCACTTTTTAAAATATCATATTCTTATTTCAATCAAACCAAACCTGATGTTTATATTCATGACGAGAAAACCTTTCACGACGAGAAATATTGAAGGGTCCTAACTCCCAAGAGTTCACCATGTTAATGGTGTTATAGTTGTTGCATATATTTGTGAAGTGCATGCACCTGCATCAAGTGTTCAAACATTCTATAGAAAAACTGGGGTGCAGTTAAAACTTTTTTAAAAAGCAACCTATCTCAAAAAGCAAAAGGTAATGCATAGTGTATTACAAGATCTACATGCTAAGATAGAGAAATTGCTTTTCCTTTGTACTATGATTTTTTTGCAGTGGGTTGGTACTTCCTACAATGGAGCATAATAATTGTGGGCCTCACCACGCAAGGGATTTGCTTTCATTGCGATAGAATGCGTGAACGATTAAACATCGGTTAAAAAATGCACATGATCCCGGAGGGCTCTGAGAACGCGAGTGTATGTACAATTCGGGTTGGACAGTTGGAGGGGCAAATTAGATTTTAAGCGTGATCTGGTTAGCTAAGGGCCTAAGGCCATGCATGGACATGATTTCGAAGTTCAGTTATCCGGAATTGAACACAGGTCTATCCATTTTGGTATACTCTATCTACCAGTTAAACTACGCCCTATGCGGCTAGGCCTGATAAGCATAAGAGAAGAATGTGTGTTGGAGAGAATAATGGCAGACAGGGTTAGGTTTAATTTGAGTGTTTATGCGCACTTTCATCTTAAGTGCCTGGTAGGGTCTTGACAATAATGTTGGTGAAAATGCTGCGAAAATTATAACAGGGGCCAGAAAATATTTCACAACCTTGTCTGTGATTTTACTTCCAAAGATGCATGTATGTCTTCTCTCCATGGGTCTTATCTGCACTCTAATGGTGGGGGCTGTCTTTGTCAACTGCAGATGTGCATCAGAACCTCTTGTGTACTCTTTACTCACATAAAGTATTTCATGGAATAATAAATATTCCATCTTCTTGTTTTGACTTTGACACATTTATTTAATAGTTCATTTCAAAAGTAAAAATGATTGAGAATTGATTGGAATATGTTAAATAATAATGACTACACATTTAATTATTTCAAAAGCAAATATGAATAATATTTTTGTAAAAAATACTAGTATATGATTAAAGGTACTATTGGTATAGTGTTATAGTCACTTAAGTGTAAAAAATGAATACAAGTTATAATGACTAAAGTTACTATATTCAAGATGTCACATTTTTCGAAACAACCTTTGTTTTAGTCGTAAATATGTAATTATTTCTTTATAATATTCAAGACCTTTAAAAAAAGAAAGTATCTTAAAATAACTTTTGCGATCTGAAAAAGGTATCTCAGATGTGGAAAATGACTTCTTGGGGTTCAAATTTTTATGTAATTATGGCAACCATTAATCCGTTATCTTGCATTCCTCACCACCAACATAGAAATGGCCACATTAGTGCATATAAAACACAGCAACAAGTTCCAACAACACATTGGACTAGATACTCGAGTATCATATATGGGTGTTTCCATCTATTATTGTGGAACTTAGAGTATTGGTGATTCTTCATCATCATTACCTCAGCGCCGCAAAGGCCTCCACACATTCGATGGGGTAGAGTATTGGTGATTGAATTCCTAAAATCAAAATACATATTCTCTTTTGGTGTATAAGATTTTAATGTAATAATGATTTTTGGCGAGAGACACTTTACATAACATCAGAATTTTTTTTTTGTTAAACTACATGGTGCTTGTTTTACTTTAAGAATTATCAACAACCTAATTATTCCAAATCTTTCGAATTCTAAAAAAAGAACCTTTCCAACTAGGGAGAACTATCAAATAAGCCCTCAAACTTTCATAAAAAGTGCAAATAAGCCCTTTTACATGAAGCTTTGTCCGGATGTCGCCATTTGGTGAGGTTTTCGGTGGAATTTTTTGATGAAATTTTTGTAGCATCTTCTTCATTAAGTCTAGTTTACCCATACCAAATTTCAAATAAAAATTCAATCGAGTAGGAAGTCAAATGATTTTCTGAAATATACTGTGCTGCCTAACTGCGCAGTTATCTTCAAAAATTCATTTGACTGCCTTCCCGATTGAATTTTTAGCTGAAATTTGGTATGACTAAACTAAGCTTAATGAAGAAGATGCTCAAAAAATTTCATCAAAACATTCCACTGGAAATCACCCCAAATGGCGATGGTAAGACAAAGTCTCCTATAAAATGGCTTATTTGCACTTTTTAAGAAAGTTCGAGAGCTTATTTGGTAGTTCTCCCTTCTAACTATCCCTTCTAACTATCAAACACTCTGTAGGTTTTAGAGAAAATGTAACGTTTGTGTGGTAAAATGTTAATTCTTTAATCAAAATTCTTAGTGTGCACAAAAATACTTTGGTCATACAAAAAGAACCAAAGAAAAAGCTAAAGTTTTTAAATCTACATGAGTGCCTTTCAAGACATGTTTTCTTGACCTAAAAAAATGGGTGCCTTTCACATGGATCATTATTGAGAGTCGTTCACAATCGCGCCAATGGTTTTGCACCAGCGCTGGGTAGCAAAGATCAAGTGTGCAGCGGACACAATAATTGTTATATTACACACTCCTTTGTTTTCTACTAATAACATTTTTTCGTACACAAATACTATTGGTTAATGTATTGTAAATTACACCAGTTGTACCGTGTGCACGGTACAACCAGCCCTTTTTAGGCTCGTGCACTTCTGGTCCTAGCAGCAGACTTCCCCGATCTTGCTTCGCACACAACGTCGCACCTGCTTCTTCAATCTTGTTTGCTTCTTCAATCTGATCTCGCACGAGGCAGGTTGCTCCTCTTCTCCTCAAACACGAACACCTCCTGCTGTGCAAGAGACAGTGGCAGATTTCTTTGTTGGCCAGTGTTGCGAGAAGAATACAGACGACAGATTGAGGGACGATTTAGGAGATTGAGTTCATACTTGTTTGACAAATCTGGAATGAGTTTATATTAAACTCAATGAGTATGAGATTAAAAGAAATAAACTGAAACACATGAATATTGAGCATATTAGAAATGAGTTTTATGTTTAACTCAAATGAGTATAAAATCCAAAATGAATGAGCATACACAAATGAGTTTTTAAATTAGAAGATATGAAGTTGATGCTCATTCTTAGGCTCCTAATAATCAAAAGAACATGCTTGATGCTCAACAAAATTATGTTAATACTCATTCAAGAGAGGCCGTGTTTTTCACCAAAATTACAAAAATGTCACCGGCTGTACGGCTGGCACCCAGGGATGTCAAAATAACCCGGCCCACAATGACCCGCCCTGGCCTGAGACATTTGGGACGGGTCTGGGCCGCCCCGTCTTGCAAATGGGGCGGGTCCGCCCCGCCCCGCCTATACAATGGGGCGGGTCCAGGTATTAGTATTGACCCGTGCTGCCCCGACCCGCCCTGACCCGACCCGCTCAATATATAAGTATATACATACTTTTTCTTAAATTATACTACAAATTAAATATACTTCAACATAATATGTGTGTATACAATAAATCATAAATTCTTTGATTTTATAATATATATATATATATTATATATATTATAAAATATATATATAATATATATAATATATATATATAATATATAATATATATATATATATATATATATATATATATAGGGGAAGGTTCAGGTGAGAATGATGTCGCAGGAGAGAAAAAAGAATGAAATCTATCCATCAAAAATCTAAAACCGAAGGCTAAGATTGTATATAAATTAATTGTGGTAGCATGGTAATTAAGATGACCTTTGAAGGATTATTATAATGGTAAAAGAAACCGTTTAACACTAAGGGTAGATGTGTAAAACTCATGGTCAATTAATTTGGATAATAAATGACGGCCACTCAAATTTCCATATAAATAGAATTATATATAGCATTTTAATACATATATTCAAGTATTAATATAATTAAATAGATTAACTATTCAAGTCTAAGTGAGATGAACGACGGATTATCAATGTCTTCTTTATATATAGCATTTTAATACATATATTCAAGTATTAATATAATTAAATAGATTAACTATTCAAGTCTAAGTGATTTTTCTTTAATCTTTGAAATTTCCAGCGTATAGTGAATTTGATTTAATATATTATTTTTTAATAATTATTTAAAGATAAACTTTATGTAGATTCAATTGGTAACAACTTTCACAAATAAAAATACATACTAGCTAATTAGGTTACGGCGGAGTGGGGCGGGGCAGGTCATGGGTCAACAAGTTTGGATCCGTGCAGGTCACGGGGCGGGGCGGACCTGCCCCGTCAATTCACGGGACGGGGCGGACCCGCCCCGTCAAGTCACGGGATAGGTCTGGGTCTTGCAATACTCGCCCCACCGTGACCCATTGTCATGCCTACTGACACCGTACAGCCAGTTGTATAGTATATACACTTCCGTTAATGTATAACATCATTAACCGTCAATTAAAGATGAATATGCACAGAGGGAATATTGTTTTGAAAAAACCGTCTAAGTGTTTGTTTAGAGTATACAACTTAAGTTATTTACGATTGAGTTGAGAGCGTGCACTTTACACCCAATTGTATGGTGATGCTCACTGTATCATCAAGTATTTTATGTTATACGGAGTATTTAACATGGATGGATGTACGTATAGGGTAGGGAGCCTTGACCCCCTAACATTTATTATTGGATAAAGGATATGAAATACCAAGAAAAGATTCGGTCAGAATTATCCGACAGAATTTTCATCAAAAAAATTCCACTTTGAATCACCTCAAACATAGATTGTGGGACGGCAGATTTTATCAGATAGGTCTGACAAGATCATCCCTCATGAAGTTAAAATAGGATCAAGTCTGCTTGCAAAAATAGGAGTGAATAAACTTATGTTTGTTTTTGTCCTAATAGATCTTATTTAGCTTGCAAAAGTAGGACTAATAGATATTATTTAGGTCTATTTTTAGAATAAAACAATGATAGTTTTATTTATAAACTTTATTTTTTAAAAGTATATTTAGGGAATTTTCTCTTTATCATCCTTCTTGATACTTAATGAGTATAACGTTTAAAAGTAACGTAACGAGTATTAGTTAATACCTTTCCCAAACTAAACGAAGTGCAGTGACTAGGTTTATTATGTGGTGATGCGGCGGCTCAGGCAGGGGATGAGGGCGGAGGGTGGGGAAGCGGAGCGGGGGCGTCGACAAGAGTAGGGCCGGGTAGGGGGAGAGGGGGCTGGCGAGTGGCAGGACTTTGGGCTGAGGTGCGGTGGTTAGTTTGATAGGGGTGAGGGCTGGAGAGGGGGGAGTTAGTGTTGGGGAGGCCGGAGAGGAGGTTGGGGCCTTGGAGGCTGACCGTCGGAGAGGAGTGATGTCGGCTTACTGGAGTGGTAGTAATAGAAAAATACCAAAATAAATGTTATGGAATGAAATGGAACAACTTAGGGATGTCAATGGGGTGGGTTGGGGCAGGGGTCACTCCCTCATCCCCGTCCCGTGTCTAAAAAATCGCCCCCACCCCGCCCCAACCCCACTACTATTTGACCTGCCCCATCCCTCGCCCCTACCCGCTAGATCATAGGTACCCAACGGGGGAAATATTTATAAAAAATTAACATTATTTTAAGTCCTTCATACAATCAACCATAGTCATTTGACAACATCTAGTACGACCTATGATCATCATATTTTTAAGAGCCCTAATTACAATCATAAAGATGACATTCATAAGAAAAGAATTAAGGCCCTATAATAGTAAAAGAAGAAACATTCACACTGTGCCTGAGACGTTTAAGCTAATATCATTTTATAACTTTTCCAAATTCATTTTACTTTATATGATTTTGATGAACCAATTTTACAAGATAGCTGAGTTATTAAACAAGAATTAGATATATACATTAGACACAACTCATTAGATAGGAAACAACTAAATCCACCGGGCCACCATGCTATTTTAATTACTTCGTTTCAGTAATTATAGTAACTTATGTTCAACTTTTAAACTTAAATTACTATCACACTACATTGTAGTAATATTTTTGTAAAAAAACCTTAATTATTAGTATTATTATTGTGTATTACTCCCTCCGTCCCAAATTGTTTTGCAAAGTCAACATTTTTTGGTCAACCAATAAAAAAAGTCAATGCTCCCTATCAATAATTAATTCAATTTTTAATAATTAAAATTTATATATTCAGAAACTACATTAAAATATCTTCAAAGTTGTAAACTCCAAATTATAATATAATTAAAAATTGACATCCTAATTAAGCAAATAAAATGAAACTGTTTGACCAAGGAAAGTCAAATCTGCAAATCAATTTGGGATGGATGTAGTATTATTAGTAATTACTAATATGTGTAAATATACGGGGACGAGGCGGAGATGGTGCGCAGGGCCGGGCCTGAGGAAATGAAGACCCTGTGCAACCAAAATAATTGGGCCTTCTTTTCAAAGTTTCAACACAAGTTAAAAAAACCGAACCGAAACCGCACCGACTCAACGGGACCCGAAAGTCGGGACTCGAACATAAATCGGTTTAATGAAGGTTTTTTGAGTTATAAAATCGGTTCAAACTGAACCGATCCATTTTTTATTAAGAGGTATTTTTAATTATTTATTTTGTAGAACAAATAGGTAATATAAAGCTCGTACGTCCTTATTTCAACAATTAGTTGATTCATTCTAGTGGTTGATGTTTAGAAATTAGCGTGCATGCTTTTATTTTCACATGAGTTCGAATCCCGCATGCCTCGCTTCTTTTCTTTTTTTTGTTTCAAAAGCTTAAGATTCCCACACCGGTGGAAACGGAGAATTTACTAATCCTTCATTCCTATAAATACGCTCCTCCTTTGCAAATGAGGAATACGCGAAGTGGTGAACCAGGCCTGATTCAAAGCCTTGCTCTAGTCCATTTTTTTTAATTCATTTGGTTTTATATCAAAACCGAACTGAAACCACCTCTAAGTAATACTAGTATACTACTACAAAAAAAATTGGGCCCTTCCAATTTTTTGGGCCCTGTGCGGTTGGACACTCTGCACACCGCCAGGGCCGGCCCTGATGGTGCGGGGTACATAACCCATCACTCGCCCCATATTTAAGCGGGGAGGAAATAACTCCCCCATCCCCATACCCGCCCCACCCCACCACCCACCCCAACTCCCCCCACGGGGCGGTTTCACATGGCCCTGCCCCATTGCCATCCTTAGAACAATTTAAAAAAATTCAAAAAATAGATTGAAAATGACTTTTAAGCCATTTAATCACTGTCTAGTGACTAGTATAACCCTGACCGGTCGAGTGCCGTTCTCGGAGTTCTACTACAAGTCTACAAGTATAAAAAGCGAGGAAAAGCAGGGGTTAAAACTTTGCCGGTATTCTTATCTGCAAGTTTGAATCCGCAAATCAACGTTTTAACTCTCACCAAGGATGAGCTTGGATTCATACCGGTCCGCGAATTCTGGCTCCAAGTCGAAGCGGAGCATCAATTCAAACCCTACGAACAGCAATAGCAGTAGTAAAAGGAAGAAGACGACCCAGAAAACACTAGGCATGTCTTGGGGCGCCAATTCGCGCTCTTCTTCAATCGCTACATTTAGCCGCTCCCCTTTCGCGGATTTCGGCAGGTCTTCCAATAAAACAAAAAAACTTCGGACTTCATTTTCACATTAACCCAGTGGACTTGTTTATAAATTGAACACATCAATTTGATTTGTAATTTTGAATTTAGCGTTGGTTCATGGGATATTGCGGTATCTTTCAGTTACATGTCAGTGAAGAACCGGAAGCTACATGATCAGTTTGATGCCGAGGCTTCGAGCTCTTCTTTCAGTGGCACTAGTTCTTCAAAGGAATCAAGGCCTATCTTTCATGGTGTTTCAATTTTTGTAGATGGATATACTGTTCCGTCCAATCAGGTATCAGATGAATGGTCTCATTGTTGACATGTTCATTTCTGCGAATGGCTTCCCCTGTGACATTTCTCATGTGATCAAGTCTACTTTACTTTAAATTGTAGACTTGTAACTCAATTGCAATTTCTTCATCTAGAATTCTAGAGTATGTAGTAGCTTCGTGATGCAGGTAGATTTTTTTACAAAGTTTTCTTATTCAGGAACTTCGAGGCTATATGTTGAGGTATGGAGGGAAATTCGAAAATTATTTTTCAAGGAAGAGCGTTACTCATATAATCTGCAGTAATCTCCCTGATAGCAAAATCAAGAATGTGAGGTATGTCATCCTGTCATATTCGGCATCCCAAATGGATAATATTTCTCTGGCTCTCTAAACTCTAATACTCCGTAAATAATTCACATTCCTTTTATGATACAGGTCCTTTAGTCGAGGACTTCCAGTAGTTAAACCTGCCTGGGTGCTAGATTGTATTGCTGCGAATAGACTTTTGAGCTGTAAGTTCCACCCAGCTGAATTTTAATGCCTAACTTCACTTATATTAGGAAGGTAAAGTTAAAAAGGTGGAACATGTCTACTTCTCTAACCCATTTTTAGGAAAAATATATTGAATGTATGGTTAATTAGTACTCCCTCCGTGCCAAAAATAAGTTCCAACTTTCTTTTTTAGATGTCCCAAATGGGCAAAATTGAAGTTCCCATTTCTGTGATAAGAAATCCTTTTTATAGGAAAAGTTACGAGCACCCTTACTTTTTGCCTATTTTTTGCTTTATTTGATATGAAGTTCAGGTATCTTACATAAATATGTGTGCAACTCAAAGTAGGAACTTCTTTTACTTCATTGCATGATGGGGGGAGAATATATTATGCACTCACTTTTAAATACTTTACTATTAGCCCTGCTACTATAAAACACTATCATGATTGAGCGCTTGATAATGCAAGTGTTTTTTACATTCATCATAAAAGTGAATTTAAGAAGACAGAGTGGGAAATATTACTCTTATGATTATGATGACTAATTTCCTAATTGATTATTGAAAGGGGTACCTTATCAACTGGATCAAGTTGCAAGTGAAGCTAATAACCAGCCAAAATTGTCTGCTTTCTTTACCTCAAAGAGTTCCTTACCCCCTGCTATTATAGAAGAAAACTCCCCTGATCAGGTAATATCTAAGGTTGAGATACCATTGATGGAAGGAAGCCTCACTGAGAGTGGTCATTCTTCTGGAGTGAGGGGCCCTGCAGATGCAAACACATGCAATAAAAAATCTATGCATCCTGGTCATGCAAACTCTACAGGAACTGAAGCTGAAGAGTCATCTTGCAGTGGTAACGAAAGCTTCAATGCTTACCACCATAGCCCTCTCCACGCTTCTGGTTGCCAGAATGAGATGGTTATGGAGTCTTCTGTTTTAAAAGCTCATAGTCCTAATAAGCAGCACTCAACTGGAATGGATGCGAATTTTGTAGAAAATTATTTCAAGGTAACAATCAATAGTCTAGACATCTGGAATTTGCAAAATGATACTAGCGGAAACATACTTAGGAATTATGGTTCAGAAGTAGGAAAATAACTCTACCTACGTACTTTAGTAGGCTAGTTTCCCATTTCCATATGTGATTTTCGCTCATTCGTTTATCTCCAACTTTTCTTCTTCTGAATTGAGTCTAAGATAAGATTTGTTCTGAACTTGAATTTATTAATTTGATTAGTTTTTCTCTTATTCTCTAATGAACAAATAGTTCTGTGATTTACATCTTATATACCCCCCTCTTATTTTAGGTCATGTAATTGATTAACTTCAATACACCTTTTTTAATTATCTTTAAATCTATTGTTATTACATTCTCAGAGTTCGAGGTTGCATTTTATTGGTACCTGGAGAAACCGGTATCGTAAGCGTTTTCAGAACCCTAGTGATGGACTTAGATGCAATACTGTAATATCATCTGAAGAACCTCAGGCCACTTCTATAATTCACGTGGACATGGTATTTTGTTCAGTAACAGTTTGATTTTCCATCCTTATAGCCTTACCCCAGTTTTGGAGGGTTGGGTTAAATTCATAAATTGTTCATTTATTAACTTGATAGTGGATCTACTATGAAATAGTTTGTTATTGAAAAATTGCTTGTTTACCACAATAAGCTCTTTGTGACTTTTTGTGTTAGGATTGCTTTTTTGTAGCAGTGGTTGTAAGGAACCGCCCTGAGTTGCAGGGAAAACCTGTTGCTGTTTGTCATTCAGATAATCCACGTGGAACAGCAGAAGTTTCTTCTGCAAACTATCTGGCCAGGAGTTATGGTTAGACTAGAATCCACTTATTGCGCTATGCAGTGTACATATTTGTTTTATGTTAAAAGATTCAGCTAGCCATTTTCTTTGCAGGAGTTAAGGCTGGAATGTTTGTTAGGGATGCAAAAGGTCTCTGTCCTCAAGTCATCATACTTCCTTATGACTTTCAAGCATATGAGGAGGTATATTGAGATTGGTTGAGTAGAAATGAATGTTCTTTGCTCACTGTTTCTCTCGTGCTTTCACAACTTTCAGTATGTGGAAGCTCTGACATGGACTTTAATATTGACAGGTCGCTGATATATTTTATGACATCTTGCATAAACACTGCAAAAAAGTGCAGGTATGCTATTTTTATCATCCTTCAAGAGCACATTACATTATCCATGTATATCTTATCAATCGGCCACTGTTACTGAATGCAGGCCATCAGTTGCGATGAAGCATTTCTAGATGCAACTGACTCAGGTGTGGAGGACATTCAAGCTGCTGTCAGTCTGATTAGGAAGGAAATTGTTGAGAAGACAGGTTGCACTGCAAGTGCTGGTATTGCTGGAAATATGCTTATGGCCCGTCTTGCTACAAGAACTGCTAAACCAGACGGGCAATGTTATATCCCTCCTGAGAAGGTAAACTTTTTATCTTATATATTGATCTCCTATGAGAATGTGAGATCATAAACAGATATGAAAACCTGAATGAATATCAAAATTATCTATCTTGTGACACTATAGCTCTTTTCCCTTTTTCTTTTCAGGTTGAAGAGTATCTGCAAGACCTTCCAGTAAAAGCCCTCCCTGGAATTGGTAATTTCTTGGAAGAGAAACTGAGAATCAGACAAGTTACAACTTGTGGGCAGCTGCGGATGATATCCAAGGTCTAATGCTGTAATGATAAACGTTGCATTCTGATTGAAAACTTTAATATTTACTATTGTCAACTCTTTTCGAGGCATGATTCTTCTTTCCCTCCAGGAATCACTCCATAAAGATTTTGGTCTAAAAACCGGGAATATGCTATGGAACTACAGTAGAGGGATTGATAACCGGCTGGTTGGGGTCCCTCAGGTTGATAACTACAGTATAATCACTTAATGCTTAACTCATATTCTTATTGCCTTCTCTTCACCTCCCACTCTTCTCAATTTCACTGTGACAGCCTGACAGGAGAAAGTATATACCTTTTGGGTGTTTTCTTGCTAAATGTTTGTACCACATATTCTCTCATAAGTTATGGAATGAGGTGGTGATCTGGATGTACTTGGTGATTAGTGAACTTTGACTATGCAAAGAATAGTTTTTAACTATTTTCAAGTCACACGCCAGTCTCATACACTGCATATTTTTGTTGTGTCTGTGTCACTAATTGATATTATTAAAACATTCTATAGACTTTAATATCCTTTATATGTGCTACATCTTTGCAGGAAAACAAGTCAATAGGTGCTGATGTCAACTGGGGTGTGAGGTTCAAGGATTTGAAAGATGTTAGTTCTTTGTATTCCATACTGATAGTTGTTTCCTTTTCTCCTTTATCTGAATCCATCACAATATTTGATGCTTTGTGCTGCAGGCTCATCATTTCTTAAACAAGCTCTCTGAGGAAGTTTCATTGCGTTTGCAGGGATGTGGCGTTAAAGGCCGCACTTTTACCCTTAAGGTTCGTCTGTTGTCATTTCTACCATCTTCCTACATGGGGTGGGAAATATCTTGAATTTGAAAGTTCCATCTGTTACAAACTTACAGTTCAATAATTCAATGTTTGCATGGCTTCATTCTTATTTTCTACTCCATTAAATAATTTAATGAGCTCTTTTTAATTCAGTGATGCAATTTATTGGCCAGATAAAGAAGAGGAAGATTGATGCTGGGGAGCCAACAAAATATATGGGTTGTGGAATGTGTGACAACATGAGCCACTCTACAACGGTTTGAAATATATTTATGGCTATCCTGGTTCAAAGAATATTTGATGGGTTTTTATGTCTTCTGAAGTTTATACATTTTTATCTTTCAAATCTACTTCTGAATCTAGGTGCCAATGGCTATAGATGATGCTGATGTGCTTCATAGGATAGCTTCTCAGCTCTTTGGACATTTCCAAATAGGTAACCATATTTGGTGTTAAAAAGCTGCCCGTGCCTGTAGTTATTCTGGTTAATTCACACTAGCCCTTGTGGCCTATATCTGATATGTTTATTTCTCAAGCTACGCTTTACGATCCTGTGGGTGACTAAGGATGTTTTTAATTGGACTGAAATTTTCTCGTTTGGTGTGGTGTGGTATGAACTGGTCCGGTCTGGTAGATATCTGGTTTCTATGTATTTTATAACTGTCGAGGTCTGCTCTGGTCTGGGACTGAAATAAGTCCAAGTAAAAACTATTGAAGGAAAGAAATATTGTAGTTAGCCGTTACATATCTTTGGCATTTACTATAGTATTATTTACCTTATATACATGATTAGGAGATGTATAAATAGCAACTTTGTAAACCAGTTTTAACACACAGAAATATATTCAAAACATTTGTTCTCTTCTCTCTATTATGGTATCAGAGCCACACGAGCTCTAACCAGCCATCTCCCTCTTCCTATGGAGGCAGACGACCCCCCTCAGCAAGGGGATCTCAGAAATTCCCCAAACGGGTAGCCTACCGTTTCTTCTACAATTTCCTCTACTGCACTCATCAACACCCTCACTCCAGATGGATTAATCATCCTCAACCCCAGCCACTTCCCAGAAAAACTTGAAGGAACGAATTACCTCATATGGCGTGACCAAGTGCTTGACCTCTTGGTTGGCTCTCATCTCGACCAATACATCAGTGATGGTGCTGTTCCGCCACCTGCCAGTGACGCTGCAGGCCATCTCCGGTGGAATCGTCAAGACCGTCTCCTCCTACTCATACCTCGGCTCAACAATTGACTCTTGACACGTCACCCACTACCTCTACTCAAACTGATATCCCGCTTTCTCCCCTCCCTAAACCCACACCACCACAAATTATTACGTACCAACGCCGACCCAAACCCAATCCTCCTATTCCCCCCCTCGTTTACCCGCCACTGATCTCACTACCTCAAATCCACCCCTCGATACTCCACTGCCCAAACGTACCCATCCGATGACCCTTCGACCCCGTAAACAAGCCAATGTTGCCACTGTTGATCCTTTACCTCACCATATAATTCCCACTTGTGCTTCTCAAGCTATGCAGGTACCAAAATGGCGGAGTGCTATGACAGTAGAATTTGATGCCTTGGTTCGACAGGGCACTTGGGATCTTGTTCCGGCTCAGCCTGGTCAGAATATTGTGGGTTGTAAATGAGTATATACAGTGAAGTATAAACCAGATGGCTCCTTGGATCGCTATAAGGCTCGGCTAGTGGCTAAGGGCTTCCATCAGCGCCCCAGGATTGATTATTCCGACACCTTTAGTCCGGTCATCAAACCGGTTACCATTCGTATTGTTCTGACTATTGCTCTTTCTCATGGTTGGCCAGTACATCAGTTAGATGTCAATAATGCATTCCTACATGGGACTCTTCAGGAGGAAGTTTACATGAAGCAACCTCCAGGCTTTAATGATGGTTCTGGGTTTGTTTGTCGCCTTCGGAAATCTATTTATGGTCTTAAATAGGCACCTCGTGTGTGGTATCAATCTCTTAGTGGCTTTCTTCTGTCACTTGGGTTTTATCAATCGGTTGCTGATGCCAGTCTGTTCATTTTTTCCTCCCATCCATCTTACATCTATGTTTTGGTCTATGTGGATGATATTATTGTTACTGGCTCTACACCCGACTTGATACGTCAGACTATTGACTCATTGGCCCACCGATTCTCTATCAAGGATCTTGGCTCCTTACACTATTTCTTGGGCATGCAGGTTACTCCTACACAGGGCGAACTCTTCCTTGATCAACATAAATACATTATGGACTTATTAAAAATGTTAAAAATGGATGAGGCCAATCCGGTAGCTACGCCGTTAGCTCCCTCTGCTTCATTAACCCTGTTTGACAGTTCAGGTTCATGTGATGCCACTCTCTATCGCCAGATCCTCGGGTCACATCAATATTTGAATCTTACCCGTCCAGATGCTGCCTTTGCTATTAACAAACTGGCTCAATTCATGCATAAACCTACGGTCAATCATTGGCAACTTCTCAAACGTCTTTTGCGCTATCTACAGGGAACTGCTTCTCATGGCTTGTTTCTCTGTCCTAGCACATCCCCCTCTCTCTGTGCCTTTGCTGATGCTGACTGGGCAGGGAACCCTGATGACCGTTCTTCTACTAGCGCATATGCCATTTTTCTCAGGGAATCTCTTATATCTTGGAAATCAGTTAAGCAACGTACCATTGCTAAGTCTTCCACGGAAGCTGAATATCGAGCTCTTTCCACCGCTGCTTATGAAATTATTTGGATTGAATCTCTGTTGCGTGAGTTGCGGCACCCGCTCCCTTCTACTCCACTCCTTTGTGATAACAAAGGTGCCACTACGTCTTCAGCAAATCCTGTCTTCCACACTCGCATGAAACATGTGGCAATTGACTTTCATTTCGTTCGGCAGCGGGTTCAACGTGGTCTTCTTCAAGTTCATCACATTCCATCCTCTGATCAGATAGCTGATGCCCTCACCAAACCGCTCCCCTGGCAACGCTTCATTCTTCTTAGAGACAAGCTCAGAATTCTTGGCAGTGACAGAATACCTGGCTTGCGGGGGCGTATTGAAGGAAAGAAATATTGTAGTTAGCCGTTACATATCTTTGGCATTTACTATAGTATTATTATTTACCTTATATACATGATTAGGAGATGTATAAATAGCAGCCTTGTAAACCAGTTATAACACACAGAAATATATTCAAAACATTTGTTCTGTTCTCTCTATTAAAAACATCCTAAAAAGATGAATTGCTCTTAGCCTCGCCTATGTTTATAGATGGACAGATTTTCAGGCAAGAGGAAGGTGGGAAGATGAGTTGGATGGAAGAAAGCTTCCAGTTACATTATTGTTACGGTGTTACCTGTATAAAGGAGTTGCAATTGTAATTAACGAGGAAAGATTATCACAGCCATAACTAGGAAACTCTTATTTATGTTAATGCGATAAAACAAGAAAGTCAATCAAATAAGTTCATCCCGATCTTCGGCTATTGATTCAATCCATAAATTACTTTTATGGACAACTGTTTGTCCATGTCATTCTCGAGCAGTTCTGTCTAGTTGTTAGTTGTCACTTTATGTTTCTTTCGTCCAGCGTTAGTCAGTATATCCATAACTTTATGGATTTTCTGTTAATTTTTGAAATGGATTTCTCTATCTGATTTCTCATATATTTCCTCTTCCACTATAGCTATCTTTTTCTGTTTCCATGCAGATGTAGAGGATATAAGAGGCATGGGCTTGCAAGTTACAAAACTTGAAATGGCATATAATGCTAAACAAGGTTGGTATTTCATTTTATGGCGTGCACTGGCTATTATCCGGTATTCCCCTTGGCTATTTTAAGCTTTGAAGGCAGTTGCCTACTTGTATTTGACTACTCAAGTCTACTTGTTACATATATGTTTTTTCTTCCAACTTGAGCTGATATGTGTTATATGAGAATATTTTTTTCTGAGAAATTCTTTCACACACTCATTAAGGTAATGAGAAGAATTCGATCCATGCTTGGCTTTCTTCTACCATGGCAAAGGACAGTAATCTGGCAAAGGATGGTGAAACAGGTTCAATTCAATTTCCTCTAGCCTCAAACACATTTTTGTTCATAATGTACTCACCGCTTCTGATATAGTGGTTGCCGCTTTGAAATAATTCATTTTGAAATTTTATGGTTTTGAAACTGATTTAACGTCCACCTCTTATCTGAGGTGTGGGATATGCAAGATCAGTTTTTTGAAAGTAAATTCATTGTCATCTTTGAACTGCGTGCTCCTTTTATCCCTTTCAGACTGCTATGTATCCCATTTATCAGTTGTTTCTTTAATTCTTCCTCATTAAATTGAGTTTCCTTGAGTTTTGTAGCTAGATTGATGCATAAACCCATCAATATCCTTGTTCTGCAGATAATGGTAAACAAAGTATTGATAAAGGCATTGCCCGTTCGGGCAGCGATATAGTGGGACCTTTGGTGCAAAGGAATGCTAGGTCATCTACTAGTGATGTTGGTAATAGACAAGATGCTGAGCTCCCTCCTATGCACGATCTTGATGTGGGTGTTATAGAGTCTTTTCCTCCTGAGCTTCTTTCAGAATTAAATGACATGTACAATGGGGAACTATTGAGGTTTATGTCTAAAAAGAAAAACATCATTGCTGATATATGCCCCAAAAGTTTCAAAGGTATCTTATTAAACCAATTCTTTTAAAAACGCAATACATATTCTCTTCCTTGGTTGCCTTTTATGTAATGGGGATTCTGCCTTATCTAAGCAGGTACACTCAATATGGAAAATACCCATTATTCTAGTTATGTTGGCTCATCAGAGAAAGTTTTGACCAGTTGTCAGGTATTCCAATGGATTGTTTACATTTATAGTATCACTATTTTATCTTATAGAGAGATATTATCTATAGTATACGTCTTCTAATATATTTATTAGGTTAGTCCATCTAAAGAGGAAGAAGTCCAAGCAACCTCTTTCTGTAATATACTGCCAGTTGATGAGAAAACTGGACCCATTTCATGTGTGATGCCCTCTTCTTTAAGTCAAGTGGATACCTCCGTGTTGCAGCAGTTGCCTGAGGAGTTGAAGGTTGACATACTTGAGAACCTTCCAGCACATAGGACTTTTGAGCCACCCTCAGATGCTTCCTTTAAGTGTGTTGACAACCAGGTCAATGAATTCTGGATTGGAGATCAACCTAAATGGGTTGACAAATTTAAAGTTAGTGATTGCAGGGTTTTGAACGTTTTAGCTGAAGTCTATTGTAATGCAAGTCCAAAAAACATGCTATCGTCTGTACTGCAGAAATTTATATCAGTGATATGTATCCCTGAAGAAGTGGATGATAGATGGCCTGATTCTATCTATTGTATCTATGAACTTGTCAAGCAATATATTGTATTAAAAATTGAAACAGATATCGAAGAGGTTTATGTTTGCTCTTGCCTTTTAAGAAGGTACGCTTTAATGTATCATTGTATTGTAAGCATTACCTCTCTGCAATATCTTTTGAATTAAGGGAATCCCTTGAATTAATGATAATTTGTTCAGGTATGTTTTTGTCTAGTAGATTATAAAGTATTGATTGTATTGCAGGTTGGCTGTAAAGTCAAAAGTGTTCCATGAAGTTTACAACAACCTCCTTCCTTTCCTTCAGGTTATTATGGATTCCTCTAGGTTCTATTTAATTTTGTCCAGATGCATGCTAAGTCTTTGCTTGGGAATGTACATAAACTGAAGTATTGTAGATGTAGATCTGTTCTGAATAGTGGAGAATGAGTAATGTATAAATTAAACTGAACTTTTAAATCTGCTTGCACAGTTGCATATTAATAATCATTAGAGAAATCAACATACTTTTTTTCTTTAAGTGACACTTGAATGAAGTGACCTATTACATGGTTGCATCCGGAACTTACCGCAACTTGCATGTGTGTTCAAGGGGAACGTACCTTTCCAGAATTCCCCACAAAAGAATACTGGTTAGATTATTCTTTCTATTTTTAGTGTAGAGGAAAAGAATGTGTTGAAAAATATAAATATATTTAAACATAGAAGTATAGAAATGATTTAGTAATTCTAGTCTTCATATGTTTTCATATTCATGTTGGTTTCTCATTCCTATTAAGTTTAGGCTCATAATTTCTCCATAGAAGCATTGCAATTATCCTGTTAACAGGTTGAATTTCTTTGGTAATAGAGTTTGCAAAAGGGTGGGGTCTGATTGCTTGGAACTCTGTTTCAGTCTTGCAGAATGCGATTATATTTTTACCACCTTTGCTGTAGGCTTGAGGAGTGATGGTTACTATCTTTTACCTTCAGAAGTCATATTTTAGGGTTGTTTTCTATAATAGTATTAAAATAGAACTTATAGACAATGACTACGTGATTACTGTAGTCATTGTGGAAATACCACTATGGTCACTTTAATGTAAAACGGAATCCACCAGTCATCACAATCACTACAAACATATCATTATGGTGGCACTGCCCATCAAAAGTCACAGTTTTGTCCACTATTTTTTAATTTTGGTCATATATTTGTCATTTTTTTAAAGTCTCTTTGTTCTTGCATGTTCTCTTGTGCATGTGTTTGAACCCTTTGTTAGGCACGGGTTATCGAGAACTACGGGGGAACTCTACAGCTGTTTTGTGTTTAGGACTAATATATTACTCCACACATGGCCTCTGCTTTTATCAAAGAGTTGGCAAGACCTGATTATCAGAACACCACCTCCTGAATTCCATCTGCTGCAGTTTGTCTGGGTAAGTTTTTTGCCCTGGAGGATTAGTCAAGGGTAATACTAGATCTAAGTGGGATAAATAGGGGCTTAACTACTTAAGTGAGAATTAAGAGGCAACAATTGTTGGCTGTGGGTGCGAATAATGCTTTATCATTGGGTGCTTTAATTTCCACAACAAATACCATGAGTAGCAGAATTGTGAGCTCCATGCCATATTGCCATTGGTGGCCCCCCATAAGTCGAACTCCTGTCAAGGATGATCTTTATTAAGCCGAAACCAAATAAACCACAAGACACTAGACAGGGAGATACAATAGCCAACTCGTGACATGTTTGTTGAGTCTCTTATGGTTTAATTAACTATGGAGTACTCTCTATGAGTTGGTGTCTGATGGAAAATGTGCTTGCATAGTTCTCCTCCAAGTGTCAGGTCGATACGGCAATGAACTATGAAACATGACAATGTATGTGAACTATTTTCTAAATTACCAATAGAGCTGATTTTCTCTCAATATTTTAGCTATAGCAGAAATTTTGGTGTTTATTGAAAAACTTTTTCTAACATAGTTCATTTGGAGGGGGTTGGCAACTCACCCATTAGACCACAGGTTGGACATACTCTTGGCATGTTTGGGAAAAAAAGGCGCATGTTCATTTTTTTTGGAAAAAAGATGATGTAATTACCAGTATTTCGCTTGATGTTTTCTGATGCTTCCGATACATCTAGAAATGTTTCTATTTTTTTTATTAATACATAGAAGACCTGAGATATTTCATTATATCCCATATTCTATGGGTGGACCTGATCTGTCTCCAGATGGATTGGTTTTGGATAAACTCAAGAATGGAACTGACACCGAAAGCGGGTATATCCGTTTCGGTCCCAGTTCTTGGGCTGGTTCCAGCCTGGTTTTGGGTTTTTAGCTTTATTAGCAGAACTAGAAATTGAAATTGGTCTGATCCCGGGAAAAAGAACGACTGAAGATATCAAAATATAGCAAAGTTGTAGTAAAATATTGAGATATTTGCTGTGTAGATCTGGGGTATGGGGACGCCGACGAGGGAGATGGTGCATATATTCTACGGCCTGAAACAAGCATCAGATACTGTATTGTGGAAGACAAAAGAGTTGTGTGTTGTCTGGTAGCTCAAACAAATGAGATGGCACGATCTCTTGACAATGGCTTGAGATACCAGGTCTGATTGAGCAGATGGGCCTTCAGCCCAACGTGTATCGGATTATCATCGTTGTATACTGGAAAGACAAAAGGAATTTTTAGTACACCAAAAAGGAAAATACTATCACACTTTATTTTCATTTTTGAAAGTTTTGTTTTTAAATTGTCTATGTATAGCAGTATAGTTATCTTTTCAATAGCAGACTATATGTATATACACAATATATATCAATATATGTATAGACAATCTGGACTGCGGATACAAAACTTGAAATCTTCTCCTCCGGATTTGTAATGTGAATAGATAGTATTGGAGCTTGCCTCCTGAGGACACACAAGCCTGGGAATCGTATCAACAAGACCTTATTCAAGATGTACATTTCACAATTGAACAAGACAGTTTTGAGGGAACAAAATTTTCTAAACTATTCTATATTACACCCAGATATGGGCTGTAATTCTGTAAATGTGTTAACTCGATTATTTAAAGAAATGGATTTTCTATTGTGTATCCTTGATCAATTTTTTTACTTGGATTTATTTCAGTCCTAAACCAGATCAAACCTGAACAAATTACACCAGACTTAAATAGATTAGACTAGACAAGACTTAAACATAATTCATTAGATCAGATCAGACTTCGACAGTAATAAAATACACAATAAGCTGGAATTGGACTATTGGAGACTAAAGTCTGAATTGAGAGCTATTGTCTGAACTGGAGACTATTTTCTGAAACTGAATTATGAAGTGCTGAATCTGAATTGCTAGTTGAATGAAGTATATCCGTTTGACAAAAAAAGCTGGAAGGGTGATTGGAAAATATAAACTTGGACTATAAGAACGGAGTATTTGAAATGCAAAACACACAAAAAAATACGAAGTTCAAAGTTCAAACGATGCTCTATATGTGTTTTTATTAGAAAATTAAGTTCCATATTTGTTTTCATTTCAAAATGTTTATTTGCGAGACTAGTTCTCTTGCTCCCAATCAAGCTATCTTTCTGGTAACCATTCACCCAAATACTGCCCTTCTTGACTCTTGAGTCTTCTTCCATCACAGTGGAATCCCCAACATCACCAGCCTGACGTGCCTTCCAGATGACTGTGTCATGAAGCTTGAAGATGAACGCTGCACCGGCGATGAATTCAAGTTGAAGTTTTGAGCCCCATGCCGAAAGTGTAGCCCGAAGTCCGCCAAAAGTTTTCCTGGTGGGCAGACGTCTTCCCCATTGCGTTATTCTAGAATCTTTTAGGGCTAACTTCGGAATCCTTTTTATCAGCTCTGTCGGCTGAATTGAAACGCCTACTTTCTTAACGTTCTGGTTCAGCCCATTCAAATCAACTTAAGCTCACTTCAGTTCTTTCTCCAAACAACAATATTTGTGGAATAATAGGCTCAAATATAGAGACTTCAACCAATTTTGAGCTGAAAAGGCTCTACAGAACATAGCCTAGACAAGACTTAAACATATTTTATTAGATCAGATCAGACTTCAACACTAATAAAATACACGATAACGAGACATTTCAACTCAGCTTCGAGGATGGAGCAGGCTTGTAGAGGAAATGAACCGGCAAAGATAAGATAGCCATTGGAGTCTCTGAGCAAAGTCCCTCTAGAGACATGGTTCCTATTGAAAGCTGCATCTACATTTATCTTGAAGGTATCTTTCGGCTTCTTCCAATTAATTTGCAGAAACTTGGGTTTATGGAGTTGTTTGTTAACGGGAAACAAGCCTTCTTCGATGTAGTAATCAGGAACCTTACTTAGTTTAGTAAATTTAGTACATTTTGTTGCGTATGAAACTATCGAAGTATATGATAAACATTTCTTATACGTAGATGGGTGTACCACTTACATGGACAACAAGCCATGAGTTAGCTATACCAAGTCATGCATAACTCACGGACGAATGTAATTTAGAATGTTTTTTAATTGAACTGAAATTTTCTAATCTAATTTGGTCTATTCAAATCTAGTCTAATAAATGTCTCGTTATCGTGTTGGGCTAATAACATGCATGCTAGATATCCTAGGGGGACTGATATGAAAGTCAGATTACCTGATTCAGCTATTTGGAAGCAAATCTGTCACACACATGAATAGGGTATGTGTTTAGTAGAATCTCAGAATGATTGCATCGTTTGGAAGCCTTCTACTGATGGTCACTTCACTTTGTCTTCTGCATTTCATGAAGTTAGAGCAACACAGTCAATCACATTTTCTAATCAGCACATTTGGCATCCTAAACAATTCAGTCCCATTAAACTTTTCATGTGGAAGTTATTTCATAGTAACATTTTACCCCTACCGAACAACTCGTCCTATATGTGTGTGTATTTCTTCACTCTTCATCTTTAGGATATAATAAATAATTTAGACATAAAAAATACCATCATTTTAACTTTTACACATTTCGTACATTCATTATGACAAAATTAGCTAATACGACATATTTGTATTTGTTATGTTTTGTACTCTACATGTATGAAAAGATATTTGGTGATAACAGTAACAAATTGCATTTATATTTTTTTACATGATTAATTTGAATAAAATTGTGAATATACTGATTTAGTTTTTTTGAACATATTACGGAGTATGTGATATTATAAATGCTAATCAACTATAAAATTATTTTTTGTTAGAAGTGAATCATTTTTCTTGTGATCGAAAAGATGTTAGAAGTTTTAATTTATACGTAGTAATATTTTATTATTATTTTTCTATCTTTTATTTCATTTTACATTTTATTTAAATAATAAATAAAAGAAGTTGAGATGGACTACTACTTTCATCTTCTAATCCTAAGATATAGAACTTGATCAAATAAAATAATAAACATAAGAAACGGAATCAAATCGAACTAAATTGTACCCAATAATTTTCATTTTGATAAACCGAACTTCAAACCGAACCAAAACGAAACCAAATCAAAATTCAAATGGTTTTAATTTCGTACAAATTCTATAGAAAAAAATAAATCGAAACCCAAAAGAAACCTAAAAAAAACTAACCATAAATTAAATTGCCCACCCCTAACCCGAACGCTCACAACCTCTGCTCTAATATCCTCCTTCGTCTCCAGAAATATCCGCCGTCCTTCGTTTCCGTCTCTATCCAGTGAAACTATGTTGGTACGAGTTTTTCCGCGCGCCATGGTTTCCACTTCCGTAGCTGCAGCTAGCTTTCCTTCGCGCTCACATTTTACTCTGTCTCCGCCGTCTACTCGCTTCTCATTCCCAAGTCTGTCAAGCGAGCCGTCCTCAATTTTCGACAGAAGGTTCGCCAATGGCCCCACCCGCAAAGATTTTGGGAGCTGGAGCATTGGCCGTTTGTTCTGGAGAACGCTAGCGTCACGGAGGGAGTACAGGAAGCATTCAAGGAGGCTGGCAAAGAGGAAGGAGAAGGAACTGGAACTTAGTGTAAATATTTGCATTGAAGAACAGTTGCCTGATGACTCTGAAGTTCTGGTGTGTAGCTGAATATATATAAGTATGAAGATACTCTGCTGTTTTTTTTTTTCAGATTGGACTTTCATCTATGCTTCTAATTTTTATTTAAGATCATTTGATGGCATGCGAAGTTGAAAATGAATGCATATCACATCTTATTTTATGGGTGGAATTCGGTAGTAACCATCGTAGATGGTAGATTATAATAGATTGATGGATTATTGATTTCCTTGTGTTGGTGGAAATTGGTTGAAGATTTAAACAAGTTCTTATGTATTCACCCTCCTATAACTTTTCAAAACACACAAAAAGAAAAAAGTTACTCCGTATATTTTAGTTATTTACTATGCCTGGGTGATTGGATGCAGGATGTAGCTGAAATGCTCCGTCTTAATGTGCCAATAGCAATAAAATTAGCTCTAGATGGTTTGAAAGATTCAGTGTATAAAACTAGAGACACTGCAATCAGTGATGTTGGCTGTTTTGAAAGTGTTGAGTTATCCGTCCTTCTTTGCAATGATGAGTTCATCCAAACACTTAACAAAGAGTGGAGAAATGAAAATAAGCCTACTGATGTCCTCTCAATGTCTCAGCATATTCCTGAGCTCAAACTTCCCATTGTAAAATCCTCTATTTGATATTTGGGCTTAATATGTATGCATATGCTTTTTGATGAAACTTAATTTGAGTCTTTCAATAACAGCTCATGTTGGGTGACATCGTAGTTTCTGTTGAGACGGCTGCTAGGCAAGCAGAGGAAAGAGGTCACACTCTCATTGATGAGATACGAATCCTTCTGGTTAGTGCAATATATTTATACTATTCTTCTATTACTAGTAGTTCTACATTTGATTACCTGAACCTTTTGTGTGCAATATCTCTTATATTTATCTTGTTGGAATGAATTATAACGCTATCACACAATTTATAACACCTTAGCGGAATAGCGGCTTAGTGCCATATCCTTAGTTTTATACAACTACTAGTTCAATCAAGCTATTAATCCTTGTCGAGAAATATGAAAGGTCCACAGCCTTTTGTTCTGGTGGCTCAGTCCATGTTCATAATTTTATCATCTGATTATCCCCAGGTGGCTAGTTGAAGAGTCTGCATGTGTGTATACATTTTGGAACTTTCGGATTCATTCTCTTATATTGTATACACGGAAAACTTTTCTTTCTCCTGGTATCAATCATGCACTCAAAGGAAACAGAAAAAGTAGTATTGATTATGTGTACATATTTCATATAAAGGTCCCAAGATCACTCACCAAGAAGTTACAGCCTTACAGGTCCCATTGATAACACATATGCCTCCTCTAGTAGGAACCCTGCCTGCCAGTTAACTGAATAGGAAACATACCTTTTTCTAGGAGTAGGGGACTGCTTTACATATTAATATCTATTATAATACGAAACCACCTTCTTCAAAGACATGCACGAAATAGGAAACAAATACATTATCTGCCTTCCTTGTTTGAATTGGAGGTGTCGTCATAATGCTAGATCAGTAGATCATAGCCAGGCCTGGCAGCCCATTACGGCTGGTTCATATGTCTTCTGGTTCATCTCATGTACGGATGTACCATAATCCAGCCCAAGAGAATTATTACCCCCTAACACCTATGTTGCACGGAAACATGAAAATCATGAGGAAACGGGAAACGTCAACTTTTGCTCAAAAAACTCTTATTTGGAGAGTTTCCAAAGAGTTTCCGAGAGTTTCCGAAATGGGAAACGTACACTTTCCTGAGAGTTTCCGTGCTACATAGCCTAACACTTATTAGATTGTGTTCGAAACCCTTTAAGGGCAGCCCGATGCACATTGGCGTCCCCACTAGGAGAGGGTCCGGGGAAGGGTCCCACCACAGAGGTCTATAAGGAGCAAGCCTTCCCTTGTCA